CCTCAATCGATTTATGACTTTTGAACACCGGTGTACTACTGTTGCCTTTATTTAGTTGATGAAAAGACTCATAGGAATAACTATCTATTCGTGTTTACTTGAAAATAACAGATAGTCAATACAATGTATTATCGAAATTTGATTAACTGAGAATACTCAAGTATTTCCTATCTCATGATATATGAGTATGCATTCTAAATGTAGGTTCGAATTGTTTGTATTTCGCATATATGTATTTTACTTGTGCAGTTATTCTTGTTTAAAGTTTTTTTTTTGGCTTGACATTATGGTTCATAGATAATCCCGTTGTATCATCACAGTCAAGAGATCTAACAAGATACCAAAACTCATTAAATGATGGTCCTTTTACCTAGTAAATATAATGATTTGTTTACAATTCAAGACAATATGTGTCAGCCAAGTATTGGATCCATCATTTTTGAAAAAAACATTATTGTGTAAATGCTGATGTTAAAATGAATATACGTCAAAATGAAAACATCCCTAAATAGTAAAAATAACAAGAATTCTGAACTCTGAGGAAAATTCAAAAAGGTAAGTCCCTCATCAAATGGCAAAATCAAAAGCTCAAACACATCAAACAAATGGATAATAACTGTCAACCTGGCTTTATATCTAGCTAAACCTCCCTCTTGAATGATAGTCGCATATAATTCCGTTACATTGACAACAATGTGTGAACAAAACAAACATACATAGTAGGTAAACATGTCAAATATTGGGGTACAGCAGTCAACATTGTGTTATAATCTTAATCACTATAAACATAAACAAATATGTCGACAAAGAAAAACAAAAAGGCATATAGACAAAGCAGATTAGTAGATACGAAAGACTAGAATACAAATATTTACCATAGCACAATAACACAATGACGGGATGTATAAGTACCGAGCCACGTCAAATGATATTACCAAACATAGACTAAACAGTTAAAGTCATAATTTACAAAGACAAATTAAAGAACACTACAACACGTAATTAAGTTGATAATCAACGTCAGTACCTAGAATATATACTTCAAGAACATCGTGTATTATTTGTGAAGTTAATACGGAATATTTATCAACAAGGTCATGGTATCTTCTGATGAACATTTTTAGAAAAAGGACAAGACGTTCTTTGGTATAACCCAGGTTCCTCAACCTTCTGCTCAGACACTGATGATGTTTTACAAAGTCTGACTAGCAGCTGCAAACTCTTGAATATCGAATTAGTTGGGAAATGTATATCCCATATGCAGGTGAAGTTGGTATATTGCTACTAAGGTGGGGGAAATTGATAATTTCAAAATTCAAATCGTCTCGTTTGTCATAGATTCTGGTACTGAGATGATTGCGTATGTCAAATTCAAGGTATAACTCTAAAAATGAGTCAGAGGAAGTCGTGTCTGTTAATTTCTAGTTCTTGAGAACATATTAATGGAACCTAATCAGAAACGTTTGGACTGTTAATGGAAAGAACATCATCAATATATCTGTATGTGAAATTAAATGATATGGCTTCTTTGATCACCATGTTTTTGACAAGTGTCTGGAGGAACTCCGACTGATATGAAAATAAGAAGAGGTCGGCAAGGAGAGGCGCACCGTTCGTTCATATAGGAATACCGACATTTTGTTGAAAAAGTCTACAGCCAAATTCAACAAATATGTTGCCAATAAAAACTCTAGCATACTGATCACTTGTTCCAGCATGTTTTACCTTTTTGTTCACTATTAACAAAATATGCCGTATGTTATCCTAAAGAAATAAATTTATAGCGTATGCTACCATTTTTATGTTAAAAAGCATTGTGGATTATTTCTTTTTAACGATTTTTCAATTTCACATGGTGGTATACAGGGTTGAAAAATCAAAAGTTTTGATAAAACAAATTTCAGAGAAAGATCGAGATTTAAAATTATCCAGAAGTTCTTTAGAGTTTTTTAGAATCAACATATGGTTAATACCACTAAGCGAGTTTCACAGTATTTCTCAAGACCCTCTTTCACTGCGGACACAATTGTTGTCAATCTAATGGACAATTCTTTCGTCGAACATGCCGATGAGCCGGCAATGTACCGTTGTTTGTACGAATTTTGTGAAGCTTAGGTATCCAATACAACAATAAGTCCTCCGATTTGAAAACTACACTACACTACAAGCGAACTAAATAGTCATAACATCCTAAAGGATAACCAATTGTATATACACTGTCCATTTCTTTTTACATTGGCTTTTGTTTATTGTATCTTTGAAGATGGGTAGCACACCCTTTTTAACAAATAATGAATAGCCACAAACCATAAATTACAGAAACAACAACATTTGAGTATGTTTATTATAAAGCACATATGTATATAAAGAAATCACAAAAGCTATATTAGTATGGCAATTCAAACAATATAATTCTACATGCAATTGTTTATACTTTTCAATATTTTGACAGAATCAGTAAAAAAGCTATCTAAATATATTTGATAACCGATAGAACAATTTAACGTAATAGTGCTACGAAAAACAGCAATGCCGCAATTCGCTTGATCGTTATATTATGTTTAGAAATTTTTTCTTTTTCTTGAATATACTACTTGGAAGACAAGTTGAGAAAATATACTTTAATGTTATACTAAATTTTGTAGCCAATATAATAAATACTGGGTTTGTCTATAAGATAAACTAATCATGTTTAAAAAAATATTTTCTAAAAACATGTCCTCATTAATACCACCCTGAGTGTTGATGAGTTTTATGACATGTCTTAATATTATAAAATGTTGTAGATAGTGATTGAAATATTACTGCAATCAATTTTATTTATTAATTTTAAATTTCAAAATGATTTAGCAATGATGGGTTCGTGTTGCTTAGTCTATAGTTTTCTATGTTGTTTCATCTGTACTATTATTTGTCTATTTGTCTTTTTATTTTTGGCCATAGCGTTGTCAATTTGTTTTCGATCTATGAGTTTGACTGTCCCTCTGGTATCTTTCGTCCCTCTTTTAGCAATGGCGTCATTACTTTGTTGACCGTGATGACTAGTTATGCAACAGATGAGTTCGATTATGTTCTACGTGTCGTATTCGCAATCTGTTTTTTTGTTTTCTCTTTATTAGCAGCACTTGATGACGCTTATCATCACATGGGTATTAACAGGAGCACAAGGACATATGCTTCTAGCACTAATAAACAAATTTAAGTCTGAAACAGTCATTTTGTTCTAAATAACATCTAACAGTTGTTTGTCTTTACGTCATTTTTTTTTCATTTTTGTCATAATGTTGTTTTTGTTAAACTTATGGTTTTGATTGGCCTCTTGATTTGCCTTTTTTGCTAGTAAGTTGGATTATTTATAGATACACGATTGGTTAATTATAAAAGCATTCAAAGCAATAGTTTGTACATATTACCACGTCAAAGCTACGAAAGGAGTTACCAGGAATATTTCCCTTATTTTTATTATACCCCACGGAACACAGACCGTCAGTCCTTCTATTGTCATCGCAACTACTCTGAAACCACACACCATAATTGCATCCAGCCTTGTAGTTAATTAGGACATATTATCTAGATATGCATAACTACAGACAATTATGATTCATTTTTTTTATTCATGATTTATGTCCATAGAATGTTGGCCTACTGCTGCAACAGTTTGTCATCGCAACTCCTCTGAACCAGCAAAACAGATTTATGAGACTTTGTAAATAATAAGAACATAATGTGTAGATGTCCATATCCACAGGAATTTTTTATCGGTTGACTCTTAAAGGAGTTGTAGGTATTTGAACGTAGGAATCTGAAGAGATATTCTTTGCCAAGTGAAAATGTGGGTCTTGTGGTGATGCGAGCGTCCTCACAAAGGTTTACTTGATTGTTTTAGTGACCTTGATTTGTTATCTTAAACGATTTATGAGATTTCATTTGAACATTATCATATGTATGTCACAAACTTGAGACCAGCAATCACTCATTCTTTGGGGACTTTTGCAAATCTAAAATATTCAAAAACAAGTTCTACATCAATATAAAACCCAAAACAACGATAAATGGATTGTTTGTTGGTAAATAAAGGCATTAGTAGTATACCGCTGTTCAATAGTCATAAATCGATTTAACAGAAACAAATCCGGGTCACAAACCAAAACTGAGGGATACCATTACAACTATAAGAGGAAAACAACGGAACAACAGAATCACTGAATTGCTACAAAAACAAACGCTAACATACATAGAAACGGATTATTTGATAACAACTGCCATATTCCTGACTCGGTACAGGACATTTTAAGAAAAAATGGTGGGTTGAACCTGGTTTTATTGCTAGCCAAACCTCCCGCTTATATGGCAATGTTATAAATACCGTTAAAATGACAGCATTACGTGGCAGGAATACAGTACAAATAAATGCAAGAACACTCAGGACAAAGAAATAGAAAAATAAATAATATAATAATACATTTCAACATGTATACCACAGAATAACAACGAACACCTAAAATTAATTTACGACAGCACAATAGAGTTATGAACTGTGCGTCTAACAAAATAAGCAGCAAAATATAAAAACTTAAATGGACAAAACTTTCACAAATTATTAACTCCTTTGCAATAAAAATATCACAATATGTATATACATTTACATTGTTGAACTGTTTCTTTCAATTATTTATCACATGGAGTGTAGAGTACTTGTGAATGCTTATCGTTCACATTTCTGACACATAATGATCTAACAAACACTTAAACAACCTAAGAAAATAACCATCTGGTCTACACAAAATATGTAATTGTTAGCTCATATATAGATGCTACATATATCATGCTAAAGGTGACATTATTTGTCGAAATAAGGTTGGAAGCAACGTGTGCCATAATTTTGATAATAAGCAAAAGCAAAAGATTATTAAAAAATTATTTTTGTATTTTTGTTTCAAAGCTTGTTTTTGATATGAGGAGTTACGTAAGAATAAAAATAACACTCAAATCTAGAGCTCAAAAACATAGGAAATTCAAAAGAAAAGTGGTGGTTATAATTCCTCCACAAATCGTAGTTACCTGCTTGTACATTGCATGCAATTTGTGTAAATGAACACGGCCAATGTGCGTTTTTCTATTGCGCTTAATGGTAAACACACGTTTAGTATAGTACGAAACGCGTACTAAAGCACTGTGTCATGATATCTCGGATACATTGATTTACAATATCACATTACCAGTGAAATGAAAATGACCACAACCCTTTTTAATTTAGTCATTTACAGTTTATGTGTATATATGATACAATATATCCATGATGATTAGTATACTAGTATTGTAAAACACGACTATTTATTATTAAAAAAAAAAAGTATTTTGATGTGAACCATATGACCTGGGATAAAACGTGTCGTCGTTAAACTAAGACATGACATAGCTAGGGGTGTGAACACTGGATGAAAACAATAAAATAGGATTAAGGAAATCCATATAATTGACAAAATCAAACGATAGATATAAACGGATCAGGTGAAAAAAGCAATTGCTATAATCCTGACAAATGATGGGTTCAATCTGGTTCTTTAACTAGATAAACCTTTCACTTGTACACGTGTAGAACAGTTGTTTGCAAATAAAGAGAAATAACAAGACAGAAGACCCAAAAATCGCAATGAAGGATGACAGGAGAAGAAAAAGTCGTGCATCTTCTGGAAAAAAGTCACGCATTTTTAGTATATTTTGCAAAGTCATCACAAACAATGCGGGAAACAAATCCAACTTTGTACATAAAGTGAAAATTTCGAAGCACAAGTATTTGGAATTTCATTACAATTTGTGCCTTGCAGGTAGGATATACCAATTTAATAGAGATTAAGAAAATTTCTACAGAGTTAATTGAGAAAACATTTGAAAAGAAAATCATTTCTTAACCACATGGTTTTCAATGTTTGTTTATTTTTCAATTTCTTAAAATGTTGAAATAATTTATATGCAATCTTGAATTAGTTTGCACCAGATACATACAGGAGAAAATCATTCTTGAATAAAGATATTAAAAAGTTAAAATAAATCTGATAATGTGTTGTCAACGATTTTTATATGTTTGCCAATGTTACTGAATGCATGTGCGACTTTTCTCAAAGTTGGTTTCAGATTGTGCATTCTACAAAACTTAAATCTCCATTCTTCTAAGATGTCCCGGTTCAGTCTTACCAAATCTCTTTCATTTTGTCTGTGGCTGATCTGTTCCCAGGTATGAAAATCCATTCCAAGCTCGATTAGGAACGGGAGGGAGTTCTTTCCTACCAATGGAGCCAATCTGTCAATGTGTTCTGCTGTAGGTACCAGATCCCACTTCTCAGGTTCCATGTCTGTGTTGTTCAAAGATAAAAACAAAATATTTGCTACATGAATAAAATTTCAAGTAGAAAATTTCGAAAACTGGAAAACTATTTATGAAAACACAATCATAGATAAGCTATTGGTCTTATTTTAGGAATTGCAATTATTAATATCAAGTAAGGTATTATTGATGTTTCTAATTTATGTTCAAACACATTCTAAAGGAGATACCTGTATTTTAAATTCTTATAGATGCAAAGGACACATACATGCATTGCATGTTATTCTATAGAAGTCTTAAAAATTGTTATTTATATTACTGTACAGAAGCCAACAGAAAGACCATGGCCATTGGTGAATCACAGCACTACTGAACATAGCAATTATTGTTGCCTATGTGACAATAGTGTGGAGTGTTAGGGTAACATCATCAATCGTATAACTTGTCGAATGTACATAATGTAAATTCAGACATTAATGCATGCATTTAATATCGGAATCACTGATTACTAGCAAAAATGTGACATCTCATTACTGCGATTACAAAAACTTTGTGACAGAACATCACTTCTTAAAATCTTAAGCATTTTTCGCATTTATCAAAACGTTGCATTACTTTCTGAATTTACGGTACTTCTGTTTTACGTTTAAAGTTTTGTTGAACCTATTTTGATATTTTTATACGTGTAAAGACTATGCAATAAAATACATACATATCTTAAAATTGCTTCTTAATATTAAGGACAATCTATATCCACAACCATATTACTACACTTTTTGAAAAAAATACTGGATTCACATTACTTACCAAAATCGATAGGTTGGCCTTTCACAAGCTGACATAATAAAAAAGATATTATATACACAACTGTTATTATATGATTGAAAGCAGTTTTGATGTACAATACAGTCAAATGATAAAAGATATCAGGATACTAAATATCAAATAAAAAAAAAAAGAATTGTCAGAATAGAGATACAGGCTTTTATTTTTCTTCTAATTACTTCTGTGTGTGTAACATAAATGTTATGCGGTCTATTATCAAGATGTGCTTCAATTCATACATTAGTTCTGCCAATTTGTATGTGTGTCAAACAGGTAACTTTGTGTTTTTTCTTTCTATTCTCAGGGAGAATGTTTGGAAAATATAACATAACATTATTGATGCTTGTTATAGTCTGTAATGTGTTGCTTTAGAAAACCATTATTATCCTCAATGCATTTATGTAGATTGATCGATGTTCATCAAACAGGTATGAGAGCTGTTCTGATCATATTGTAATGTTTACTTTTGTCTAATTTCAAAGCCTCAATATGGTTGTAAAAGAATGCACACTAGTACAGTCGATTGTCCTATTCTTCAAATGATGTATATATTTCATTACACTAAATCATATTTCATATCTTTCATAGTGTTATGAAGACACTTTTAATTGAAATGAAATATTCCATTGCCTACCACCATCGTGATTCAAATATCCTATAAATTTTATATTTGTTTTTCCGACAATATTTTTTGTTTTTCATGTTGTTGGTTTTAAATTGTGTTTTCACCTTACATTTATATTCATCATATTTACTTGTATATCCCCGATATGCATAATATAGGCGATATTAGGATTTTTTTGTGAATTTGTTTGTCTTTGGTTTATATATTCAGGCTAATATTGTTATAAAACATATCACATAAACAAAAATGCAATGATTAGACAAACAATGTTACCGTATGTTGTGATTCATTAAAATGTATTTACCTTGCAAAGTATGTGGATACTTTCTTTCCCAATTCTTTCTAATGCCTCTTTGATGTGTTTAAATGACACCATCCTGCTATCTCGACATTGTCTCAATATTTCAAAGCTTGCTGTTTTTGGATCTTCAGTTTCTAATATGGTTTCAACGTCCCTGTTCGACAATCCCAAATGTATTGCCAGCTCTTTAGCTTCAAATGGACTGTACAATAACGACAGGCGACGTAAGTGTAGGTCTAATGGTGTCGCTTTCAGAAACTTTTCTTTAGTAACTGTATCGAAAATACTGCATACGTATCAAATACCAACATGATTGTTATTTAAAAAAGATTTAAGATAGTTATTAGACAGTTTGAAGAGATAACTCTTACCAAAACACCGAAACATAATATCCAGATACATACTACTGTGAAATAAACAACATTGAAACAGACAAACGCATATTTTGTACAAACAACATAAAACAAGAAAAACTGATACATAAAACATTATTGCAAACTAAAACTAACTGATGAATATTATCTTCAAACAAGGCAAAACATTCGCATCAGAAAATTTTCACATATTCTTAACATTCGTTCCGACCACTGAGAAGTCAATCCCAATCAGATGGACAGAAAGGTAAGCAGAAATATGTGTCTACGATATAATGTTAGACATTATTCTGGTAACGGGTCATATATTTATGAATCGAACCGTTTATAATTTAATGCTTTTCTATACATATCAGCCGTTTGCTCTTAGTCATTATATTTGTCTAAAACATGTAACATTTACAATTCACTGTGTTATATGCAACATTTATCATCAAACTGAATAACATATATACATAAGATAAAAAAAAAAAAACAGTTGTCTGAGAGAGAGAGAGAGATTAGTAAACAAAAACTAATACTTGAAAATATTTAACACATAATTCGACGATAACGCAATGAAAATTGACAACATTTACATGATTAATTAAAAATTGTCAAAATCATTTGAGAATCATATGCACACGGGATAAAGCAAATTTTTTTTTAATAAATCATTAAACAAACTCCAATATAACCAATCAAGGAAACACGTGATATTTCTGCAGCGTCCATAAAGCTTTCCTTAATTTACCTTCATTATGAACATTCAACCTCAATAGTTTGTTATGGAAAGCCAACAGAGTCAAAATTGTAAATTAGTAAAATTGCCAATTTGTAACTTGTAACTGTAACTGTGTAATTTCACAATGCTGAATTGGTAAATTCCCAATTTGTTACTTGTAACTGTGTAATTTTAAAATTCTTAATTCGTAAATTGTCAATTTGTTACTGTGTGATTTGTACATTTGTGATTTGTATATTTGTAATTCTTGAATTTGTGATTTGTCAATTCAATATTTGTATATTGATCATTAGGTGCTACAGTATTCCTGAATCCTGATAGGGGTAAATCCTGAATTCCCGTGAAAATAAAGGTCCAATTCCGATTTCCCGAAAAAGGTCCTTCCGCCTCTGTTTTAATTTTCTGAGCTTGTCTAGAACAGGGTTTGAATTTTCTGAGCGTGTCTAGAACACGGCATGTTTCAAATATTTTCTGTAAAGAACAGGGTATGATTTGACAAGTGCATTCGGCACAGTTGTACCCAAAAGGATGGCAAGTAACCCTCCCTCACCCCACCCCTGATTTCGGGTGTCCCCCTTTCCCCCTTTTTTCTAACTGGTCACACTTTCCACTAATAAAGAACAGTGTTAGGGTTCTTCTTCATTTTGGTCAGACATATCAATAATAACCCTGACACAGAGCGTAAACGGTTTGTTTTCTTTAATATTAAATGGTACAGTTGTAAAATAATTTACCTTTCTTCATCAACGTTATCTACATTTCGAAACTGGTATCCTTCCGAAGGATACAGAAAGTCTGACAGCGTCGCCATCTGTTATCATAATACGAAATGTAGCATAAAATGAATGTACAAATTTCGAATGAACAAATCACCTACTTTGCACTCATCGCGTTAGAAAAGTGTCGATTTACAAGTATAATACGCTTTTACAAATAACATAAAAGCATAGATGCCAATCGACATCTACAATTTACAAAATAAAAATGTACAATTTAGCAATTTACAGATTACAAATAAACATATCACAAATGAAGCACCTAATGATCAATATACAAATGTTGAATCGACAAATCACGAATTAAAGAATTACAAATGTTACGCAAAGAATAGCCATATCCATATTAAGTCAAATTTGCTTGACGTAGTTGAAAGCATAGTTTATTGAAACTTTCTCAAGGTATCAACTGCGAATTGTAAAAGGTGTGCACTGCATTACGTTAGTACTGATGCAGAGCTTACTGAGACAATACAAATGAGACTCTTCGACATTAAAGGTGTCCTTAATCTTGTCATCAGAAAAAAAAACAACTTGTTAACATATGAAAATGATTTGTCGAACAGTTCTCATGCTATCAGACGAAACGATACGAATCAGCGTATTTTAATCGAACACGAATTATGTACATTAATACATACAATAGTAACATCAAACTAGTTGTCTGTTTTATATGAGTACAGAACTATCAAAATGTAAAAATTTCTTAATTTACTAAAGCTAGTAGTCCTCCAAAAGATGTGTCAAAACATAAAACTTTAAATGACGTTATACGTTATTCGACAATTGAAATACAATACCTGTACACCCTGGCGTACACTTCTCTTCATCCTGAGAAAAAAATTAAATTACAAACTTATTGAAAGGTAATTATTTAATTTTATACATCATTCGGTATACATTATTAGTAGGTTTACCGCCAAATTGATGGGATAGAAATGGGAAAACGATCGTAAAATTTACAAATTATTTTTGTATTAGCATATCAGTTGTCTATACTGCCTTGGAATAAAGAATCATCCCTTTTAGTACCTAAATTCAATCTCAGAGTAGATATGCATCGTAACTTTTCATTTTCAAATGTGTATCTATTTTAAAGGCACGACAGATAAAGTAAAACCGGAGGAATACAATTTCTAGCATTTCACCCAAAAAAAGTGTTGATTTTGATCATCAACATTATCGTTAAGTTACTACCTTTTGGTTAACTGACAAAAATATCATTTTTTCTCGGATCTTAATGGTCAATTTGACATAATTCTAAACGATAAGCAAGTTTACGATGTAAAATTTGAATGTCGAATCGAACTATGTGTGTATTTTAGTATTTTGACTTCCATCCCCTCAAAAAGAAACATTCCATAACATATATTACTGTGGATTCATTTATTTTCGTGGGTATCAATTTTCGTGGATTGGGGAACACTTGCATTTTCGTGGATATTTGATTTCGTGGTTTTGCAAATCTCTGCATACAAAGACAAATTAACATTTGTAATTCGTTGAACATTTGAATTCGTGGTTCACCTGTACCAACGAAAACCACGAAAATTGGTATCCAACGAATAATAATGAATCCACAGTAATACCTCTTCTGTAATCCACGATGTAATTGTGTGTATGCTGTGTTCAATGCCATGTGAAGGACATATCCAAAATTGGTCTGTGTTTGCTAGATCGATGACTTTGAAGAAGCATGGGATATCTGGTGAGTTACAACATATCCTGGTTATAAAAGATGCATCACTGGCTTGAGTCTGGTCGCTACTTGCTCTAATATACAGCTGACTTATTTTCTCTAAGGCTGACGTTAGACATTCATAGATGCTGGTAGCTTCATCCCTCATTATAAGTGTGTTTGATGTGGCATGAACAAGACGGGCAATGATAATCTCATCTTCGCAGGCAATGTACATATCTAAAGACGGATCAATGGTGAACACCCCCGACCTATGGAATAACATTTCCTTGTTGGTCTTGCCGTGTGTTTTCACTGCCCAGACACATAGGCAGTAACTTATAAATCTAAATGATAATGCAGGAGGTATCATAAATGATGACGGTTCAAAGGCTATGGAAATACTCCTGTTTGTGAAGCCCGTAGACTGAAGGTATCCAGTATCATCTTTAGCTCGTACCATACTTGCAATATAGTAGAAATCAGCAGGGATACGGTTGTGATCAGAACCATATCTCTTTGGTTCAACCAATATATCTAGATGGGTCATGACATTTAATAGATAATCTTTGTGTTGGTAAAATTTTACATATTTCTTTCCTTTCCAAACGCCTTCTATTGCTTGTTTTGATACCACCCCTGTCTTGCCCATTGTATCCCATATTTCTTCTCTTTTCTTGTCTCCTTCACAAAATTGCCAATCTGTAACAATTGATTTAAATGCATCGATAAGAAGAGTGGGAGACAAAATGATACGGTCGTCCAATTTATGTTCATCGAAGTACAATAACTTGCCAATCGAATGTTGAAATTTCAGAAAAACCTTCAACTCAGCTTCTGACAACGGTCTAATAGGTTGCAATGAGTTTATTTTCTTTAGATGTTCTAGTGTAATCAGCGGGATGTTGCTTCTGACCAACGATGAACATTCTAACTCTAACGGGATAAAGCACTTTGGAAGGGGTTCTCCCCATGTTGGTTGCCTATCTGATTCCCTGATGATAGCGGCCTTGATCTTCGCCATTTCTGGATCATATTTGTCTTTAGCGTTTACAAATATTTTATCATCAATCACCAATTGTTGCATCAATGGATTTTTGTGAAACATCTTGTTGATTTCTCCAAATATGTCATGTCGTCTTTGTTCAACCTCATTCTAAAACAAATACCAATATGATATTTTTACCCCTATAGGTATATCAAACAATAACTTATATTTTCATAAAGCATTTACCTGTAAGATATACATGTTGTAAATATACCAAAATTGCACCAATAACAATATTGCAATCACACCATTGCTTGCGTTTACAAAATGAGTAAAAGGGGGATTTCAAAGTGGTAACACTGATATCATTTTAAAGAAGCAAAAACAAAAGATACAGAACAAAATTACAATGTTATTTTTATAACGTAAAAACTACAAACAGACACCGATCGGAAAATGATAATCCCAAGGCAGTTCAACCTTAGTATCAGATAATAACCCGAATGATTCGCAAAGTCCACAAACAAAAAAAACTAAAGAAGGGCACTATATACATAAGTACCGATGGTGTGTATCTTATAGTAAAGTCTTTTCAAAGTATAAACGTAATATGATTGTGACCGTTCTCAAGACACTTGCCTTATTATGACGAAACGCATGTCTGGTGTACTTAGTTATAAGCCTCATACCGTTTGATGAGGTTTTGTAAGGGAAAGTATTGTATGTATCTCATTATAGAGATATGAAATATAAAACAAATAATTCTTCAAGAAATCAGATAGAAAATGGGTTAAAGTCTTATTTCTTAAAATATAAAACACAACATAAATGAAGACCCTATTTAGCATTTTAGTTGGTTATATCGAAGTGTTCATACCACGTAGATATAGGCAATGTTAGGTATGTACATACATGTATGCACTAGTTATCTTATTATGAACTGAAGCGTTTTTTTTTATATGAACTGCTCTTACGACACTGAACAATAAATAATCTTTATAAAAAATAAGAAAATAAAGTATATAGCCCTTTTAAGCGCTTACAGTAGTGAATCCAGTACTGTTCAGACTATTCGCTGGAAAGTCAGCTACATGTACAAAACAACAACATTCTGAATTACCTTAAAATTACTGACCATTAACGGATTGACTGCAAGCAAATGATGTGAACAACAAGTAAGTATCTAAAAACTTGTTACCATACTTAACGTTTTGATGTTCAGACTTTTCAGATATTGCTGATGAAATGAACATGACCGATTAAAACTAAAAAAAAATATTACCAGTCCTCACCTCGGACTTTTAATTGATTTACATATATTTTTTGAGAAAAGATTACTTAAAAACGTAGTGCATTGACAATACGCAGTAAAATAACGATTACACATATATATATATATATATATATATAACTCGTCTAAACATCAGCCCAACAATGTTAGATCTGTAAATTTGTTTTCGCAATTTTTTTGTTCTTCCCTCGCCGGGATTCGAACATAGGCTACTGAGATATCGTGACACTAAATCGCCTGCACTGTATCCGACGCATTAGACCACACGACCACCTAGGCTTCACATAATAAAGCTTTCGGTGGCCGGGTGTTACCTTTCCTCGTCAGTTTTAATCTAGCGTCGTAATACAGTACATGATATATAAGGCATGAAGATGGAATTGTTACAGATCAGCTGAAATATCTATTGTAAAGGATCCTACAAATTAATGCAAGATACAGTCACATAAATAATTATATTTATAAGTACGTCTGAACCAGTGACAACTCTACAACAGATTTATCCATCGGATCACCAGCAGTGATGGTGATACATGTCTGTGTACATTCTGTATATACAACTCGTATAAACATCAGCCCAACAATGATTGATCTGTAAATTTGCTTTCGCAAATTTTTTGTTCTTCCCTCGCCGGGATTCGAACTCATGCTACTGAGATATCGTGACACCAAAACGCCTGCACTGTATCCGACGCGCTAGACCACACGACCACCTAGGCTTCACATAATAAAGCTTTCGGTGGCCGGGTGTTACCTGTCCTTGTCAGTTTTAATCTAGCGTCGTAATACAGTACATGATATATAAGGCATGAAGATGGAATTGTTACAGATCAGCTGAAATATCTATTGTAAAGGATCCTACAAATTAATGCAAGATACAGTCACAGTAATAATTATATTTATAAGTACGTCTGAACCAGTGACAACTCTACAACAGATTTATCGATCGGATCACCAGCAGTGATGGTGATACATGGCTGTGTACATTCTGTATATACAACTCGTCTAAACATCAGCCCAACAATGTTAGATCTATAAATTTGCCTTGGCATTATTTCCTCTTTTCATTCGATTAATAGACATGAGATATTTGTGTACGTCAAATCAAATTATTCAAAATCCGAACAGTCCATCATTTTAATTGTAAAAAAATGTACTACAGCATACTTACAGCTGTTACCTGATCTTTGTGTGTTAACACGATCATAATTTTAGGAAATCCCTGAATAAGTCCTTTGCAGTATGTTACGATTGTGTTTATCCAGAATAGCAGATAATCTGTAATAATAAAAAAAATAAAAAAAGGGAACATACTTACGGGGAAAGGTATCAAAGTCATTTGAATGTATACTTTCGCTACGAATTCTACTGTCTACTAAATAAATTACTTGAGTGCTTATTCTCGCAATAATGGACTAAAGTATGAGGATGTTTTAGTTTACATGCGTTTTTTTTTATCATATTTGGAAATTTTATTCATCTAGTTTATTGAAAATTGATGTATATGTATAAATACCTTTTGATGTTTTATGTCCACTTTTTCCTGGAAGGTACTGCTCATACGGACATGGATCATCGAGTTTTCTACTCCCATCCAATACAATTATGTAAATAGCTCTGTATGTTAAAAATGTCTGATGAGTTGAATAGAACACATCCTGCCCTCCAAAATCCCAGATAATTATAGGTGCTATCTTTTTGTTGTGTAACTTCTTTTTTCCAACTTTAGAGGACTTCTCTAAGAATTTTTCCTTTGTGATTGACACTTTGATTTCTTTGACTTGTTTGGTAACCCCAAACAAGTTTTTCAGCTTTCTGATAACTCCAGGTTTAGTAACAGTTTCTATAGGCAAATCACCAGTGAAGTCTGACTCCAAAGAAGTATCATGAGATTCATTCATTGGTTTGTATTCATCAAGCGAAGCTTCATATATTTCTCTGTCATTTGCAGCATCAGTATTTTCTTTTCCAGTTGTAAAATGCTGTGCGAATTGTTCGGTCCTATTGATGAAGCCATCTGAACTTTTCCCATCAGAAACAAATCTACCTGATAACATTTCTGAACTAGGGATTTTGTCTTGAACATCTGGCTCATGTATGTCATCGTTGTCTTCTATTTTTGATTTCTCTCCTGAAACATGACCTGATAGTTTCTTTTCATTACTTATTGCCAAACTACCAGCATAATCATGTATGGTTTGAAATTGATGCTCAGACGGGGTTTTGGCTTTCTCAGATTCTGTCACGGAGCTTTCAGTAGATGACTTGGTATAGAACGATGGTGATTCATTTGATGTATGTTTAAGATCTCCTTTGCTGGCCGACAATGATCCGTCCTTTGTCACATCTGATACAGCTGGACTGGTTGGCGTTGTAACTGGTAATCTAATATTTTTATTTCTTTTGTCTTCCCGTAAAAGGGATCTGCTAACTGTGATTTCTTCCAGAGAAAATTCTAAATAAGAAATTATTTAAAACTATACATAATACTTAGATGTTTTGGCAAAGTACAATATACATGTACCAACATTAAACTAGAGGTTCTGAAGAGCCTGTGACGTTCTCCTAGGTCTATGTGCATATTCAACAATGGACACTCTCCCATATTGTAGGCGTGAACAAAATTCAGGCCTTTTGGACCAGGTGAGTTAAAAAATGTAGCAAATAAATATCTGTAAACGTATAGACGCATTTTAACCAGTGATCATTCTTTTAAATTTAAATAACAAACAATATTGATACCTCAAATATCAAAAAGGTCATGTTACGAGACATAGCTAACTTGTGTAATGTGTTTTTATAGCTAAATACAATCTATGCAAGGCAATTTATATAGCACGAAAGGAGAGATATAGAAACTCTTTCAGAATCGAGTATGGCTGTGAGATTGTTGATGCAAATCAAGGTGAATAAACTTGTCATGCATACATCAAAATATGAATTGGAATCCCCTGAGATAAAGTCTCAAACCATTTTGTTTGCATATTGCATGACATTAAATGCTGGATAAAGAAATGCGGTGTTGATAACTAGTTGGAAACCAAAACCTGTACTAATGACAGTTACTAAACTAAAAGATAGGTCGGTTGTATGTTCCCGTTACATTTCATCCTTAAATGAAAAACTTGATTTTCTTTCAGTCGACTACCACAATGACTTACGGGTCATAAAAACAACTTTGAATTGGTTAATCAATCAAATGCACCATGTATGTTTTATCAGCAAAGCAATCAAAAATACCAGACAATTGTCCGCAAATGTGCGTTTTGTCTGCAAAAAACTCGTCAGGGGCGCCCTATTTAAAACAGTTAAAAAGCCCAGTAAATTATAAAGATGAAAAAAATTAAAAACCAAATATTCCAAAAAGTTGTGACGAATGATGAGAACATCAGTTTTCCGATTTTCAAATATCACACATATATTTAGAAGACAAATCAAGGTAACACACAAACGCTGTCAAAATCGCATAAATTCGTAAAACAGTTAGATCGAGTGTCAACAGGGTAAGCGACTTCTGCAATACATGTAATGTGAATTCACACTCAGTAAACATTTCACAATCGGTAATAGAACACAATCGGTACAGTTACCAAAAACGGCTTTTTAACCGAAATTTCAAAGTTACTTTGCTACTAAGAACGGACAGTGTGAATCAAACACTGGTACTGCAACTTTCAAAAAATATTTCAAATGGTCCCATCTTTGTGCAATAATATACAACATTTGACCACTCCTTTTTTTACAATAGTATTTCCTACTATTTCTAACTTAAAGACAGATTCAAAGATGAAGTCCACACTTTCTACAAATCAGGTTTATAATATTTGATGTGGTCTTTTTGTCTTCCTGTGAACATGTACATGAGATTACACACACTCATGCACACAAAACACACATATATATCATTGACAGTCACACATTTGATACACATCAATTATTATAATTGAATACTTTTATCTTTTGTTTCAGGTAGCATGGAAAAATTTCCTTGCCTAGCAGGACTAGGCTTTACTGTGTCTGTGAATAAAAGACTGGAGATAGATGAAGTAGAAGACAAATTTATAACTAATAAACTACTTCTTGAAACAAAATGGTCAACGCAAATACAGTAATCTGTTTAAAGCATAACCACATGATCTTTCACTTTGTAAAAATCCCTCCAATTGAAAATGACAAAGACGGTCGACTGAGAACTAACAGAAAGACAAAAGATACGATATCGATTTTCCCAATGTTAACATTACAGGTTTTTTTTAGCAACATTGCAGAATTGATACAATTGAAGTATATTTGTTCAAGGTAATACGAATTTCCAGAGCTTTCATTTCTTTGACTGTCTTCATACAGAGTTACTTCATACGAGTTTTATCAGCTGTTCCTAATTATATGATTGAGATGATCCCTCCGACAGTTTTAAGGAGGCCATCACAATTTCTTTGATTGTTAAGGAATATATATGCAATTGACCATTGATCTGTTTTAATTATTGTATCCACAATTTCGTTTTCTTTTCCACGATTGTGACATGACTATCACCATGCTATACCATGCTATACTTCTAATGAATCACACCACAGATGTTGTCGCTTGATGAGCAGGAACTGCTTACCATATAGTTCATCCAAACATTTTATGTAGACTTCGTGTTGTTCAATCATTTGTATCATGTAGTGTTTTGTTAGTATGCTTGTTATTATTTTCTACTAGTGTGTTTTCTGTTTTATTGGATTGAAACGTTTGCATTTCCCCCGTTTTATAGTATTGTCACGTTAACCTACTATGTCTGTTTGTGTAGCTTGCTCAATGTTGTCAATATAACGGAGCTATACACAACTGTTATACAAGTGGGAGGTTAAGCTAGCTATAAGACAAGGTTTAACCCACCATTTTCTTTGTAAAATGTATATATCATTTCAGGAATATGGTAGTTGTTTTTCACTTGTTGAAACATTTGAACATTTGAATTTGCCTTTGAGTTCAGTTTTTTTGTTATACTTTTTAAAATGTTTTCTCTCTCTTATTACAACTGGTCCTTAAAAGACATAACGAAATCATTTTATCATTACTCCAAATTATGAATTGATATGCCATCACAAAAAAAATGAAATGAGCAACAGCAGTGCTGTTATAGCCTTTATTTGAGACCTTTAGGCAAAAAGGAATAACCCGCAGTACTATTTGCAAACTGATTGAAGCCGATCAGCTACCAGTCGAAGAAAAACGAATAGCAAATTGACCCCACCAGAAAGTAATACAAAACAATGTTTCGCACATAGATATACCAAGCATTATTCCCCCTTCAGATTTTTACTATGTGTAATATTTCAAGATGTATGATGTTTTTTGATATTTACACCTGAAATATATTTTTCCATTGCTGATGTTTTTTTTATTATCTTTTTTGGCAGCGAGGGCATAAAATTATAGATTTTTAAAACTAATTAAACCTGAGGATGATTGTAGCTATAATAATTCATTGATTTGTAATGTAGATTTGTAGAGTAAAGTGATAATATGTAAGAAGAGTTAAATGTATCTCAGAACATTCTTGATATATTCATTTTATGAATGTGTGATTTACCTCTTTTTGTCAAATTCATGCATATGATATTAAACATCTTCAATTACCCTCTATCCTTATGATGGAATCTAATAAAAGCTTTCTAATAAAAATCTATAACATCATGCCAAGTTTAAAAGCATTAACAATCAAAAATGAGAAGAGAAAAAACAAATCATGTAGAACTATACCATCGTCTGCTTATGAGTGAGTGTCATTATTGCAACGGTTTACACCAGACTACTTTTGTCATGAAAACAATACTCAGTAACACGTTTGTGGGATTAATATAGTTAACTGACATTATTTTAACTTAATATTTTTCTGTTTTTATTTTTTGAATGACTATTGCCATTCGTTTTCACTGATTGTACAATTATATTGCTTACAGTATTCATTCAGAGATGCCATTATTGATCATTATAATTTGTATTGCAACACATTGATACAAATTGGTTACCTTTTATCAAATAAGAAAAAAAAGGCATTAATAAAAAAAATACCGAAATCTCTAGATTTTTTTCAAAATGGGGATGTCCATGAAACATGACAAAATCACACTATACTACCAACGAAACAAATATAAAATAATTGTTATATTTCAAACTTAGTACAGAATAGACATCATGTGAACTGGTATGATAACCAATGAGACTTCTACCCACCAAAGTTCAAATGAACTGGAATTAAGCAATTATAGGCAACCGTACGGCCTTCAACAATTGGAAAGACCAATACTGTATAGTCGGCTATAAAATCCCCGACATGAAAATGTGAAACAAATCAATTTAGAAAACTACCGGCATAATTAATAACAAAACAATTTACAAAGAACAAATATGACAGACATGAACAAACGACTACCACTGAACTACAGGTCTTGCCTGGGGATAGGCAAATAAAGAATGTGGCGGGGTTAAACATGTTTGTAAGGGCTCAACCCTACCCTAACAGGGGACAGTGGTGCTACAGCACCGCATAAGGACAAACTGTAAGTCAAGACGCAAATGAAAATGTTCTGGTATTCATATCTAATATAATTCTTATCAAGTTGAAACTGATATTGTTCAATTTATACATGTGATGTGTACAACAGGCAAACCTGAGGCGCCATGACTGATTATTTGCAATACAAAAACATAATTTTCTGTTAATCTTTGTTACTCGTTTTCTGATGATACACTGATTTTTCTTATATTTCATGTACGACATTTAGAGGTAATTATAGGAGGCAACGCCGATGACATATACTATGGAAATATTAAAATACACAGTGATACATATATGGGTAATTATCTTCTGTGGACAAGATATTCCAGGACCTTGTGCTGACCTAAATCATTGCTTAATTTCGTAACAATTCCAAACTCGCCTCGACAGAACTTTTATGACATTAGAATATGTAATGAAAGTTAATTAGAACAACACACATTCCTACTCGATTTGTTTTCATATCATAAATAGTACGTACTGCACTAGATGTGCATTTTGACTACAAATGTCTCGTCAGTGATGCTCGGGGATAACATATTTGAAAATCAAACATGCATTCAAAATCTAAGAGCTGGTGAAAAAAGAACAAAAGTATAATTAAAGCTGTGCAATGTTTCATAACTCCTCATATGAGAGATACATTCCTTTATGTAAAATAATCTCCAAAATGTTGTAGCACAAAACTTCAATAACACGGTATGCGCATTTTAATGCAAATACTGCCTGCTGGTGTGGTTATACCTTCGGGGGCTTAAAATATACCAGCAGTGGTATCGACCAAGTGGTAGTAACAAACATTAACTGTACCAATTTTTCTGCACCAAATCCACACTTAGGCAAAAATTGTCTCTTCAGTAATGCTTGGGGCAAAATCCAAATCTGTTTTTCAAAAATTGAAGAGCTACCTACGCAAAAAAAACCAAAAAAAAACAATCAAAACATAACGAAAACTTGCAGCGAAATCAGACCTTTATATGAGAGAGATATATTCCTGAATTAAAAATGGTTTCATAATTTTTTTACAGCAAATTTCAGTAACTTAATTTCCGTATTTTCATGCTAGTACGGAAGCAAGGCTATTGGGCTATTTAAGCGTTACCTGGCTTTCCTCCAAGCCATTCCTTTGTTTCACGGTCCATGTATGAAAGACCATTGTATAATTCTATTCCATCAGTTGACATTCTGATTCTAGTTGGACGTTTACCGACAAGATATCTGGCAATAGTTGTCTTCCCTGTTCCCTGTTCTCCAGCTAACATTACTCTTGACTCAAAATGTGGATAACTTTCTTCTCCTAATAAACTGGTAAACACTTGCGCAGATTTTTTATCCAACTTCTGAACTTCAATTGGAAGACCTGAAATTTCGAATAATAAGGTTTACAAGTAATATATCAAAATCTACAGATCGGTGCAGTCGGACTGTTTATCTTTCATCAACTATTTCACCCTTATATTGTGGGTGTTGTATTGGATCAAAGCAAACACGCATACATTTTTTGTACTATTGATTTTTGATTCCAGCGTAATTGTCTGAGGGAGTAAAAGACAAAATCTCTCCTGACCAGTTATGAAGTACTTACGCTAGGTGATAACTTATAAAGAAAGAGAAGATACCAATGGGGCAAACGTAAAGCATTTGAAATGAATTAATCGTTACCAAAAATAATAATAAAAAAAAAAAGAAAAGAAAAACAGCAATAACAAAACATAACACAGAAAACTAAAGATTGAATAACACAAACATGGTAGTGTCCCTATAACGTATACATTAACACTTTCTTTATCAAGAATCGTTCGTACAGCGTTCGATCATACTCTGTACAACATTTGTGTTGCGTTCTTAAAACATTGTGTCAGCGTGCTTACATCGTTCGTTCATCATACATATATGGTATATGAACCGATTACTCGACACAATATGAAGGCTTTTTGATCTCGTTCGCTGCGCTCACTCGACAAAAAGCTTCATAGTGTGACTCGCAGCTGATATTTTACAATATCAATATGCAGACAACCTGATAATCAATTTATCGGGCTGTATTTGGGTCTTTTGGAAGTGCTTTCTTTGTTTCACCAGCAAACCGGAAGATGACTTGATAAGTTCGGGTCAAACTTATCAACGTCGGTTCAAACATTATGACGTCGCTGATATGTCCGGGTCAAAGGTATTAAGGCCGGGTCAACACATTTGACGTCACAAAGCCGTGATATGCAAATTTATTAAGAGCTGAGCAGAGTGATATAGACAGTGGGACGACCGATAAGATATCGTTTAAAGCGTGTCGTTTATCGTATGGTATCTGATAGAATTTAGTGTTTCATTTATCGTATTGTACAAAATGAAATATAACTGAGGCAATAGCCTTCAGTTGTTTACATCTGCAACTTCTGGTCTCTGGTGAAAAGTTGCCACATTGACAAAAATCCAATTTCTCCTTATGTGTATACATCAAATAGGGAAGAAAATGAATAATTACAATAATGTTTTTTTTTTTTAAATAAGTAAAAAAGGTGCTCTTGTTGATATTGGAATTCAAGACCTTCCGATTACATTACAGCTGCTACATATCAAGAACTGATAAAAAAAGACGTAGTTCTCCTTCATTATGCCAATTCACAATTATAAGTTGGTGGTACTATACATTAACATTCAATCGCACCAGAAAAAAGTATGGAGTTTGAAACAAGTATTAAACAATTTCTGTTTATTTTCCCCAAATGCCCCTGTAATCAAAATCGTTATTGACAATAATCCCCAAATTTATTTATGTGTATACATGAAATAGGGAAGAAAATGAACAATTACAATAGAAATTGTTTAAAAAATAAGTAAAAAAGGTGCTCTAGTTGATATTGGAATGCAAGACCTTCCGATTACATTACAGCTGTTACATATCAAGAACTGATAAAAAAGACGTAGTTTTCCTTCATTATGCCAATCCACAATTATAAGTTGGTGGTACTATACATTAACATTCAATCGCACTAGAAAAAAGTATTGAGTTTGAAACAAGTATTAAACAATTTCTGTTTATTTTCCCCAAATGCCCTTGTAATCAAAATCGTTACAGTTCTGTCTGGACTTCACGTGTTTGATAGAATAAGGTTATGCATATACATTGTATAGATGTGAAGTTTTGTTCCGTCACGAAATTTTTAGATAATTTAGTTTAAAAGATTACCTACATGTTTTAAGAGTACAAATGGCACATATGGCAGCCAGTCTGAACTTCCTGTCAAAACTTAATACTGTAACAAATCTGCGTTTAAATTACATTGTTTAAATTCATGCTGTTATAAATACTATGCTACTTGTTCTTATATGTAAACGTTAAATAATAAAGAAGAAAAAGCTAACGTAAGATATATATATTTCTGATCAGTGAATACCGAAAGTCCTCTTCAGTCCGCCGTTCGTTTACATATTTCGATGATTCAATGATTCAAGGAATACTACGACGATTTTTTCACCTGTTTTTTAATCCTTCATTATTAGCGTACCTACGGTCATCGAAGGTATCTGAGATACAAAAACGTGTATATCCAAGGAGTGATAGTTATAAATATGATCGTGGGCCATATGTTCGCTCATATTTAAAAATGCAGAAAAAAACATATATGCAACAATACTTTAATTAAATCAGCACAAGTTGAAAAAAAAAATATTGTAGTTCACCAAGCTAAAGTTTTTAAACTTTAAAGATATAGAATAATGTGTTACAACACGTCAAAACTACTTTAAGGGAAAATTGCTGATACTTTTCGTACCTTTTGCAAATTTCCCTCGTATGAGAATAAGAAATAGCGGACATTATTATAGTTAATTAGCATAATCTTTTGTCCAATTTTGTTAGCTTCCGCCATAGGATTTACCGTATCGGAATAATAGAATGAATATCTGTTTCTTTACATTATTTTTGCTTACAATAGTAATTTGGTTAAGACAATTGTTAGTTTAGATACATTTCAGATAAAGTAACAATCGAAAGTACAACCTAGTATATCACATACAGGTACATGAAAAGTGAACTTATTGTTTGTTTTGTTTAGTATTCTTTGAAAATTATATAGTTTCAGCATTAGCATCAATGATACCAGTTTTACCACACTTGATGCTCATTTTGACAATTCCTTTGTCTTCATTTAACCTCGAGTCCAATCTATTTGACAAATATAAAACTTATAAAAGACACTGATGAATTGATTTAACAAAACAAGGACCAGAAAATAAAGGTTAATCCGAACAAGGAATCAGGGCTATGCATTCCATAATCTAAAAACAAATCCAAAATGTTATATCCGAAACTATAAATAGATAACAATATCTCTAAGTTCATATCTGTACCAAAGTACTGGCTACTCGGATGGTGCATCTACATGTTTTGGCAAATAAAATGTTTTAATTTTGTCATACTATAATTCAGGTTCAATAAGTTTAAATCGGTAAGTAATATGTTTGACATCTGAAATAAAACATGTTTCAAAAGCATCGTAGACAACACATTAATGATAACAATTGTTTTTTTTCTTTTAATTTTAAAATCTTAAACAAATATGATACACGCGTTTCTCCATGATAGCCAGACGATTGTAAACCGTTTCTTTTCGAATGAAACAATGACAATTTATCGCAAAAGGGGGATAGTTTCTGGTGCTACCCTTGATTAGTTCAAACCTGTTTAAAGGGTCTATCTGGTCCTTCCTTTTTCATTTTGGCCTATTTATCACTTGATAAGATTACTTCTTTCTGAAGTAACTAGACCAGAAATAAGATGAGTTCTACATATTGTTGAAAACTATGATCGCAGGGAATTTGAACCGTAACCAAAGTCTTCATTTCAAATATATATTTCAAAAAGGGCATACAAGTATTTTTTCGTAAAGATATATCATAATAAGAGGCATCGTCTACGTTTACTTTTCAATACTCGTGAAGTTTGTAATTGATTATACCTTATACCTGGTTGTATTTGTCGTACGCCACGGAAGAGACCACAGTTACAACGCGTCTGATATACATAACTGTACACCTTGCTTCTTTTTTTGTGAATTATTTAACAAATAAATCAGTTTCTGTTTCCTGACAGTTTGTTTTCTTGTCATCTCCCTTCTTGAGTGTTAAATGTTTTCTTTCTACAATTATCTCATATAGATAAATAAGCCTCATTGAAACTGACCTTAAAAAAGTGATGTGTTTCTTATTAAGCCTTAATTGTCTGTACAATTGCGAATCCATTTACCAGACATTATTATAGAGTTAGATTATTACATTTAGTTGTATTTTAGAAAAGGAAAAGATACGTTATGGTAAGACTGATACTGGCACCCTTTGGTCGCGTAAAACGGGCGGCCGCCGAAGTGAGAAGATCTATATAACTTCAAATATTATAGTTGTACATTGGAATATTTATCTATCGATTCTTAATTAACTTTATCATGAAAACATTGATTGTATGTTTTACATAACATGCATAACATAGTCCAACAAAGATACTGAACTCAAAGGTACACTCAAAAAGTAGAAGTCCATAAAAAATGACAAAATCAAACGTAATTAACGAACGGAACGAGTAAAAAAAAATGTCATATTCCTGATTTACCATTCAAATCATCCGCTGATATGAACATTCCAGGAACCTGTCATGACAAAGTGTGTGGAAACGGGGAATGTGTCAAAAAGACAACAACAAGACCAAAGATCAGAAAACAGCCCAAGGCCACCAATGTGTCTTTAGATCAGTGAGAGAAACCCACCATCGGAAGCGGGGTTCAGCTGGTCCATAAACAATAATGTTTACTAGGTCTTCAAAATGGACGGCAAATTAAACTCCGAAATATTCAAATGAACCAAAATTAAAACACCAGACTAACAAGTACAGGTTCCAGACTTGGGACAGACGCACACATGCGACGGGGTTAAACATGTTTTGGGTGACTTCAACTCATCCCCAATACCCCTATATCTCTAGCCAATGTGAAGTTAACAAACACAGTAAAACTCAGTTTAAAAGAAGTTTGATTTCGATAAAAGAAAAGGTAACAGAGAAAATAAGCAAAATGACAATGATCAACATAAACTTACAAATAACTGTAGCAGTTACGGACATGCCAGCCTCAGGCTTCTATTAAACTGAATGAAAGATTACGTCTTCATCATATGAACATTAACCACAATTTCTCCCGTAAGAGGTTAATTAACATGCCATCATAAATTGTGAGTAGTGAGAAGAACATAACCCGTATCATGCAAACAACTGGTTTTAGAATAAATGTGTTTATTTTCGATGTAGAAACCCTATGTGTGAAACAATATTATTCCATAAAATGCCATCTTTAATGACTTGACAACAGTATCGTAACTATATCACTTGTGAATAAGTCTGTTAGAAGGCTGGGTTCGCTTTTTAAGTGAATAACGACATTTTTGTGCTTTGTATAGAATACTACCATAAAAGATGGGATGTGAAATACCTGAACGTATAAGATGTACAATTTGAGCAGTACAAAGTCTACACTATTAAGCAGTGTTCTGGGCCCTTGGTTTAATGTGCAAATACTTCTTCATTTAAATGGAAATCATGAGCCGGTTTTCGAAATTGGTTCTTTCGGTTTCTCAAGATTGATTCGTTTACATACAACGTGAGCAATATGAGTTTCCGTCAGTGGATATAATTTTTATTTCTTTTCTTGTAAGAGTGCCGCTATTTGTTTGTTTTAAATGTAAACCAACAACCAGTTATAAACGGACAAAAGGTAAACACACGTTTACCAAAGTATGCTTAATAAATTAACTTTTTTACCGTGTGAAAGCAATTATTATATTTTCAAAAAAAAACAAAAAAAACGCAGAAACTAGTCGTAATCATACAATAATATTGATGCGGCTGCATGGTAAGTAATATCATCGTTTATCCCCTTTTACAAACAAAAAAAAAGCTTATTGTCATGCCACGGTACATCATGCAGATGACCCTAGATCATCTTCGCTAGCCAAGGGTTACGATCCAGTCCCCTCCTCTCCACACTTGGCGGATTAAGATAGAATTTCTGATCCACGACGTTATGAATTCCATTGGTCGCAGTTGTAACTGGCTGCATCCAATAAAAAAGCGCCTTTAAGATGATCACATGTAAACGCAGAAAATGTAAATAAACAATTTCCACGTGTTGATTGCGCAACAAGTCTTTACCCCCAAAACATAGGTCGATATTTAGTGACAATTTTAAAGTTCTTAATCAACTAATTGAAGTTCCTGGGTATGTTTCTTGCACTAATGTTGTCAACGTATATTTTCGGTTCCTGTCTCACGACATTTGTTAACACAAGAATCAACCATTTGTACACCTCCACACTGTTCGAGTACTGCCATTTGTCAAGAATGATGTAGTCGGAATGGGTGTAACTTTTATCTTCCGATAGATGGCGCAGCATTGGAATCACAAATGTTGGCTTAATCTGCCAAGCCTGGATCATAACCCTTGGCTAGCGAAGATGACCCTAGATAAAGTCGACGAGTAAAGGAAATACTCGAAAATTAAGCTATATTGAATAGCCTAAAGTTGGACGAATGATATAGACCGCTGGACACAGTGTAGGAGGTATTACCACGATTTCGCAGAAACAGCGATTTGAATCCTGTTGAGAGAAGAACAAATTGTTCTCCTGCAAATTTGCAGACCTAGAATTGTTGGGCTTAATTTCAGAAGAAGTTTATATGAATAGTGATGCAAGCTGTGTATAACTACCGGTTATCCAATGATTGCTGTTTATTGAGCAAGGAATACGTCATTTCTATTGCATTTGTTATGTCATTCTGTATTTATTGTTTAAGCATTGTCTGTATCCTTTACATAATCTCTGTTTTATTAACGACTGTCTATTGTTTTTTTCCGTTTTGTTTTCATTTTTATGTTTGCAATTGTTCCGAGGCTTTTATTGTGTACATTGAGTTTTGGGGTGTGCAACCTATATATATACCTGTAAAGCATTGTTTCAAATACTTCATACTATATCGATCAACATCAGTAATACTTCCTATACAATTTACATCAGGTGTACCCGTATAGTATGCTAATCAATCATTCCAAAACTATAGGTAACAGAATACTTACCAGGCAAACGTGATTGATAATCCTGCAAAACAACATAAATTGAAATTAAAAAAATATTTCAGGCATTGTATAATTTAATGTTTACAAATTTAACAAATATACTTTTTGATTATACTTTGAATCAGTAGAATGCATAATCGTGCAAATTTGTATACAGTTATTTCAATTCAAAATATACACAATTATTGCTTTATTTTAGTATCATAGAAAAAGAAGAACAATTCATTGATTACCTTAAATAGCTGTCTAATTTTCTTATTTCTTGCTATATCCATTGGCTTATGTCCCTAAATCATAATAATATATTTATTATATTTAACTGATTTATGTTTTTTTAATCCTAAATATTATTTCGTAGAATCTCCAAAAAAATGTATTGCATCATAGTCTGACCCTCGTTTTTACGCAACACATGTTTTGAGACGTCTAGATTTGCGAAATAATGTTATCTTTGCTTAAGTATCTGACCTCATATACACATTGATTGATACTTATAGAGATTATAGATGATTTTTTCCACCGAGAGGGTGTTTCTAAGCTACAATCTCATCAAACATGTCAAAGGGTTGACCGTTTATGCAACATAGTTTACCACGAACTACAGCAAGGGGTAAAATATCGACATAAAAGGCCAATCCGTGCTAAAATCAATACAATTCAAGTTTTATTCTAATAGTACTAAAACGACAATTCGTTGGGACGAATCGCTTAAGGCAACGGCACATAACTGAACAAATTATTGATATTGAAACAGAATACGAAGAAAACTGAATTGATGACAATGATAACTTTTTGAACGCGACGTTGTTCAATTATACGTCCTAGCGTACGCGGTGTCATATCTGTCATTATGTAGTTATATCGTAATTTGTTTAAATCTAAGAGATCCAAAAATAGATCAAATAAGAAGTGTGCAAGTAAAATAAGTTTGTAATTATTTTTTATTAGTATGGAAACTAACAAAAGACACATATCTTCCTCGCGCAGTCAAATGATTAAGGATGTTCGCTCAATTATTTCAAAATAACAAGCTTTTTTTAATTTGATAGTATATACTATAGAGGGTGTTTCGTGAAAGCCCATTATTTGTGGTCTTTGAAATGTGTCCTCACCTCAAAAGAATGTAGTTTGGATTATTCAGGAACAAAGTTTATTATTTTTATAGCTTAATTTTTTTCCGAAGTTTCGAATAAGTATGAAACAACGTTAAGCTGCAATAATTTTGAACTTAGTCTGTCAAATCAAAGACAGAAACCTTCGTATTCTGTTAAATATCTTATTAGCAAATATAGGTATATCAATTCATAGCAGCAATATTGCTAATTATATAATAAGTTTGAATCAGAGACCAGACCATTTTTACGGAATACATATTCGTTAATTATTATGACGGGTGCCACATGTGGAGCAGGATCTACTTCCCATTCAGGAACACTAGATCTCACCCCCGTTGTTTGGTGGGGTTTGTGTTGCTCATTGTTGTGTTTCGTGTACTTTTGTTTTCCTCTCTTTTATTGCCAGTTTTGTGACCATGGTTCAGGCATTTTACATGTAAAATATTATATTAAATTATATGTTTAATGTATGTACTTTAAATGAAGAATCAATGGGGTGGAGACTTTGTCTTTAGTTCCTTTTCTTCAAACCATAGAGGAGTGGCCATTTTATTAAATAATATTTTCGAATTTACGATTTTACAAAGTAAACAATATCAACATGCTGACTTCTTATGATCACATATCAAATTCGAAGATAACAATACATTATATGGTACAACTAGTGTTACCTCTGATTATATGACAAAAGTGGTGAAGTAATTGAGAAATTTGAAATCAGACTGTCATTGCAACAGGAGATTAAATAATTTAGTGCGAAATCAACCCTTGACACGTTTAATTACCTAAATATTAATATCCAAAAGCCGAAGAAAAAGTTCTATTTATACAGAAAATGTATACGACTGTCATACAAGTGAGAGGTTTAGCTAGCTATTAAACCAGGTTTATTCCGCCATATTCTACATAAGGAAATGCCTGTACCAAGTCAGGAATATGACAGTTGTTTTCCATTGGTTTGATGTGTTTGAGCATTTAATTTTACCATTTGATAAAGAATTTTCCGTTTTAAAATTTCCTTTGAGTTCGGTATTTTTGTTATTTTACTTTTTTCATAATATAATTGATCCCTTCAGAAGATTATATCAAAAAAGTAAAAGGTTTACTTTGAAGAAACCAAACCCTTAAATCAGAGGCCAGACTTGACTGAAATCTGGGGGGAAACAATGGCATAAGCATAGTTTAAAAAGAAAGAATCTCATAAATTAGAACGTTTACTAGAGGAGGATATAAACAAATATAACAAACAGATAAAATTTTGGAACAGATCGAAAAAAAAAAAGATTCAAAATTTCTTAGAAAAAAATATTGGGGGTCAGTATATAAGCTCAAAGACACAATGGGTAAAAGAAAGTGAGCAATCATCAAACTATCTTATGAATTTAGAGACAAAAAAATATGTTAATATTCTCGAATCTGGAAAAATAATTGAAAATCAAAAACAAATTGTAATCATATATGAAGTTCCCCAAACGCTTTGAGTACATACCCGTGGTAAAATATGAGTATATTGATATGTCAGCTGATCGTCAACGTCATGGATTCTTTGGACTGTTACAATCTTACTCCCACGTCGTTTGCTTTTTTAATGGGTGTTAATCACGTCATTGAACAATGACGTAAGAATATACGTATTCTACGGGAAAATGCACGAATGTGAAACTGATAGTCGTCAAACCATGAAAGCATAAACAAACGATGATAAGCGTGTGTTGAAAGCCGATTTTCTTAAGTAAAAGTAAGATTATCTTTTAAATCATCCAAACCTGTCTGAGTATGTTATTATAAATCGTTTAGGTATGTCACTTATTCAGTACTTCGTATTTTACGTCAATATTAAGAGTGTGTTCAATTACGGAAACAGCAAACATTTCCCTTCTTCTTGAGCGCTTCGATCCAATGAATTGCTGTCTTTGTCCTATTAGAATAGAAATAATTCATGGGGGCTTGAATTTATATTGATTTTACCACGGGTTGGCCTTTTATGCTAATAATATTCCCCTCGCTATCGCTCGTGGAAAAATATTTAGCTTAAAGGGCCAACCCGTGGTAAAATCACGATAAATTCAAGCCCCCCCATGAATTATTTCTTAATTAAGGCCTGCATCTACTACAAAAATCTATATTCCAAAAAAGAGACGATAAATTATATTAATTTGAATAATAATATACTAGAACTATCAGCAAATATGAAAGAGTCTATAGAAGGAGAAATACTATTTATAGAGTTGAGTAATATAATTAAAACAATAACAAATGAGAACAGTAACGGACAGCAACATTCGTTTGCTATGTTTTCGTTTGAAATCATGTAGCTAATTTACTGTATGAATCTTACAATGTAATGACTTGTGGTTAATCTATTTCCATCAGCCATATGCGTACGTGACATTAATGATAAACCTTTCAAACATATTGCCAAGACTTACTTCCTTTTTAAATGGAGAAATTTTGAGCCGACTTTGCAGTGTCATAAAATATTCTTCTTTGCTGGAAATATTTCGTTAATAAAAAAAAAACCAAAAACAATATACATTTCACAGTGACAAATCAATGTTTAGGGAATGAATATTCTAAAACCAGTTTTGTATGATAATTAATTTGTCAAAGCAATGGTGCCTGGATATTTTTGACATCACTCAATGGCAGTACTTGGATTAAACCCGAAATCTACAATGAGCTGTTTTCGTTTTAATAAAATATGTATTTACATCAACATTCGTTTTTTTTTAATTTTTTTTTTAATTTACCGATTTATATATTTTGCACGTTTAATTTTTAGCTGAAGAGTTATATGTGTGTTATTAATTTTATCCTTCAAAATGTCATGCTTGTCAAGGAATGAAAACAAAGTTCTAATAATATTTCTAGATCTTTGAAGAAGCGCTTTATTTCTTTAGCTTGTATATTAGTGCAACGTACTGACATTTTAATTTCGACTATCTAATTAAAAGTATAAACACAAAATGTCTACATTTTTATACATTTTGACAATCAGAACATGCATGTGTTATCTTAACATTGAAGTTTTGTTATCGTTTATACTAATATATATGTTTGTAGATAACTTTTAGGAGTTCAGTTTTTGCACGTGTATCATCTCGTAGTTTTGTTAAACAATGTGCTAGTTTGAAACCAGCGAATGGAAAAGAAACTCAGGTTTTGATACATATTTCTTTGGATATGCTTGCATTGATATCAAGTTGTTCATATGATATTTTTTTAAAATAAAGGCACACAATTCTTTTATATCAATTACAGCAATTTATGGATTTGAAATAACATGAAATAATCTTGTACTGCTACTTACGTCATTATTTCGTTTGTTTGGATTACAGTCTCTGTTTAATAAAATAGTTACTACCGCCTCATTACATCCTTTAGTAGCTAAATGTAACGCTGTATTTCCATCCTTGAAAACCGAAAACATCAAATATGAAAGTTAATATTTGGTTTTAGTAAAAATGATTTGCATACGTAATTTTTAAACAGATATATTTTCCATGTAAGTAGTTGAATCATTGTCGTATTTTCACACAATCATGATGATTGATGTATAATAATAGGAAGTTTATATAACCATCATTAGTAGTAGTGGTAGTATACCTTTGACCTTCAAACATGATATGAAAAAACAAGCATTAACTCTGGGTGAATGAACGGTCATGGATAGACAAACTGATGTCTGGACAATATATTGTCCTCCTCGCCGTACACTTTAACTAGTTGGTTGAAACGCTAATGCATATGGACAGCATTTTGCTCTGCCGTAATGTTACGATCAGATGTCAAGTTTGTTAAAGTTTAGATTTCTGTAAAATAGATTTATCAGCTGAAGGTTTGGCTACATTTGTTAAAGCTTTGTTCCGACTAATAACTTTCAGTAGGCTTAATAAGAAGTGTTATTGTGTTTAGTACTATAACTGGTGTTGAGACACCCTTTGGTTTAATTTTACTGGTAGATGATGTTCTTAAAGGAACTGAGAGGAGATGAGTAAAGACAGAAGAAGATGTTTGACATGAAGATGAATTAGACGTTTGGTTCCTTGGTGATAATTTATTCATTGGAGTCACGACAGGTTTTGAAATTGAGAGGTTTCTTTTAGTTGACCAATAATAATCAGTCAGTGTTCTGAAAATAGCAGCTGTCTGAGATGCAACTATTGCGTAAGACTGTTTTGAATTTGAAGCGTGCGAGGCAAATTTTTCTAGCCCCTGGATAAGTACTAATCTATTCTGCTTCAATTTTATTTAAAGCTTCTAAACTGACAGATCCCTTTGAAAGAGAGCCGCTTTAGAATTTATTTTTTAGACATATCGGATGATGTCATGATTGAAGGTCAGATTGTTATTTGGAGAAGCTATGATTGATATGGTGGTTATTTTCTGAGTTTTTAAAAGATCAGCATACTGGTATTTTTTGCTACAGTCAATGAGAATGCAACCATTCTTAATTATGTTACTGTTTTACATGTTCAGTACATTCTTTTATTGATTTCTAAAACATCAAGGAATTGTTTTTGCTGCTGGTTTTGCAACATTGGTACTATGTAGCACAATGAATACATGCCAGTTTGTATTTACAAATTTTGTAGGATGTTCTTCGTCGTCACTAATCGTCCAACAGTTCTTTATCTTTTCCTATCCCCGAAGCGTGCATTAATGTCTACATGGTGAAAACTAATGTGCATTACCTTGCTTCACTTCAATTCGGAGTGCCAACTTAAGAGATTGGTATGTCTCTATTAAAAAGGAAAGGTATATCTAACAGAATCTTTATTGTTAAAGGATAAAAAAAACCGGTCATAACATCAGTGATAAAAGGACAGTAAACTGGCCTATAACATTTGAATGCAAAATTTTGTGCCATGAGTAACTTATTGACACAAGCCCTTAACTCCGACCACGAACAACGATAATAGTCTACCGTGGGGTTAATTAAAATAGAAACAAAACCGAAAAAGAAAAGGAAAATTTTTTTTGCTGGTTCCAAATTCGTGTTTGGTTTGCTTGTCTTATTCTCTTCGTGTTTCTAATTGTGCACCACTACTGTCTCACATGAAGCATACTCTTCTCAAAGACAAAAGTAAAACATCTTGCAAAGTTCATTAATTTCACTTTCAGATATATTGATGATGTTCTGTCACTCAAAACCCAACTTGTGAATTATTGTTTACATCCTATATACCCCAGTGAACTACGTAAAAGGTGTGCTTCATATCTAGATCTTTTCCTCAATATTGACAAATAGGGATGACTTAAAACTAGAACAAATAAAAAACGTGATGACTTCAACTTTCCAATTGACAACCTCCCATTTCTCAGAAGTAACTTGCCATCTGCTCCTTATATAGCGTTTTCATATATCAGTTAATATGTTACGCTTATGTATGTTCACACTATATGGACATCATTCGCAGCGATGTTCTCCTCACATAAAAATGCTCCAAAAGGATTATGAGGAGAGACAAATGAAATCGACACTACATAAGATCGACGGTTAACATAACGAATTGGTTGACCAATAGGATATGTCGGCGTTAAACTCACGAACGCCATGTTTTTGCGGTCTTTATATCGTTAGATACCAGTATAGTCGTATAATCTTTAATTCAATAGAGTCTGTCCTATTCCCGATTGTTGCAATTCTAACAAGTGTGAATTCGCACGGGGGTTTTTACATGCATAGCAGGAGACACGTTCAGAATGCGCATATAGTATAGTATAAGTACTTTCGATATTGGTGTTGCTTTGTTAAGGAAACAATGACCACGGAAATTGTTTAGCTAAAGTATAAAACATTTATTCAAACAAAATAAGTATAATTACAAATGTTGACATAAAAAGATAACAGTAATTTTATCTGTGCATTATTATTCTGTTGTTCGTTCTTGAAGCAAACATTATCGTCAAGTTTTGAGATGATATAATTAAGCTCTTTTATTACAGTTGTTTACCATTACTATATTGACTTAAAGTCAATATCTTTATTTTATTTTGCATAGGTATTATTTAGCTGAACAGTTATTCAAATGGCTGGTCACAATCGCCGGCTATTTTTACTTTGTTGCCTTGTTTGATATGTAAACATCATCTGATAGAGTAGAGTCGCCATTTTCCAAAGTGCATTTGCTTATTTCCCTTAGTAACTTGCATTATTTTCTATCTTCTTAAGGTAGCACAATACAAAGATTTTTTTACTTCCAATCTCCAACCTTGAAAAAGATGTTACTTTCTTAAAAATGCATATAAATTAATAAAAGAGGTATATATAGATAGATAAAAGATTAATCTTTTAAATGAATGCAATATTTTTGTTATGCAATCATAATGTAATCAATTATTATGCAATAAATAGCAAAATCTTGGTCAGTTCACTTGAATGAATTTAGCTCTTTCATCTCTATAACTATACAGGAAATTTTAACGAAATCTTAATCAACACAGCAGGAGCTACAAAAGGGTGTCTCAAATTATTGCTATGGTATTCCATTCTCTCATAAATCTGTAATTAGTGTAAACATCCTTACCACATAAAAGTAGATAATGTTTGATTAGGTGTAAAATTTTATCTATACATTCTATCCGAAATCTGAGACACCCTTTTGTAGATAATGGCTCTAGGAACAACATATAATAAAATCAACTTTCTAGGGGTTACCATGAAGAAGCTAATTTCAATTGAAAGTGGAAATTTCTTGTAAAATTTTGTAGACACAGTTAACATTATAATTGATTACATAATTGTTGTATAATACTAACATTGCATTAATTTGAAAGAGTAATCTGTTAGCTATCCATAAATACCACTTTTATAAATTTTCAAGCATTATAAAGAAAGTTACAGCATTTTTAAACTGGGGAATCGGAGGTATGATATCTTTGTATTGTGCTACCTTAACTGGGATCCAATTCGACAGTCGTAATATATCAGCATTGATTTTAAGCTAGACACCAACGAATATAAAAACGTAGATTTTTTTATTTATTCGAGAACTCAATTTTGTTTATACTATAACTTAATCTGGCAAACGATCACCAACCCTAATTGATTTTTAATTCGGTAACTAAGATATTGTTTGTAGTTCGCAAAAATCTTGATAGAAATACAGGTATTTTTATCTGTGTTAAATCTAAAAATGTTCTGTATCTAAGTTTAAAAAGTCTTGTTGACAAAGTCGGTGTTTATACTTCGTATAGAACATCACTTCATAACTGCACACTAGATGAGGCATGTACGGCATGCATTGTTCATCTGTCAAAACATATCGTTAACAATGCTATTGCGCATATTGTCATGCTTATATCTGTATTAACTAACTTTTATATTTACAAGTTTCAATACAGACACATATAACTTGAGCACTTTTCAAAGAACAATACAAGTGTGTATTGCACTTTGAAACCTTAAGATAAAGTTTGATGCAAAAAGGACAACAACGACGTATGTACTTAATACAATGAGTTTACGGTCTGTGACGTACTTGTTTCACTGTTCGACCATTTTAGGTTTTGAGAACTTGAAAGTCCGTGGTAGGTCTTAAGTGTTCAATTGGACGTCCAGTGTTATTACATACACATTAAATGAAATATACACTTGATAAATTTTGCGCGTCTGAGGAGCTTTTCTGGATAAACCTTCATCTGGAACTCTCAAACCTACAAATTTAAAGGCCAGGGATCCATAAATACGCTTCAACTCACGCTAGAAGCTTTATCATCAAACAGGATAGCCAAGTTGATTATTTTTGAAATGTACACATGGTGCAGTAAAATTGGTAACTGTCATGTCAGACATTGACATTTGATTATTTTTCAGTGTGATTAATTACTCACTGACCTTGTCCTGTACATTGACATCAACACCAGCGTTAATCAGAAACTTGACGACTTCTGTTTTCTCGTTGAGTGCAGCAAGGTGAAGTACAGTTTTACCATTCTGATTATAAAAATATATAATAATTTTTACCTAACATTGAATGATGAAGGAGACAATTTATGGTTTGACTAAGCTTATTTTTAATACGGTATTCAATATTGGATTTCAACCATTTTGAATAAAAAATGAACTAGTATAAGATCTATATTAGGGGGTATCATCAAGGTCCTGCAAATTAAGAACTCATTGTAATTTGATATTGATATGTAATAAAACATTGAGGAAGTGTTGTCGCAGCCTAGACTTATTTATCATGTTTATGAATATAAATGAGATATCACATGTAAACTTCATTTACCGATTCCGAAAAGTTTGTTTACTCGCAAAGAAATTTAAATGCAGAGACAACTTTCTTGCTATGTATTACACAGCGACACACAAGCTCCCCACCCCGACTACGGACTACGATAATGATATACCGCGGAGTTAAATCAGTGTGAAAAAAAAGAAAACGAAATAGAAAACTTTATCTGTTGGTGCTAAACTCGTGTTTGGTTTGTTTGCCTTTTTCTCTCATTCTGTTCGAGGGTTGGAATTTTCGAGCCTTAAGTACAAATAGTTGCTAATTTCCTGGTCGTAAACTAGTACTTTTATTATAACGAAATAAGTTCCAAAAGCGGTCTGAAACAGTTTTTTTTTACTTTTGACATTTTACTTCAAACAAACGTGTTTTCAATCATGCAATAACACGCACAATATGTGATTGTTTTTTAGATAACAAAAAGTATAATGTTTACATTCATTTAACGAAATTCGGGTCACTTTAGAGAGAGAGAAAAAAACACACGCTAAAGTCGTTTGAATAATCAGACGAAACTCACATGTGATTGATAGTTTATTCTAATTCAGTTTTCAGTTTGATATACATCATATCTATAATTTACCTCGTTCTGAAGATTGATAACTAAACCATTGTCAATAAACAATTGAACTATTTCTGTATAATCGTTAAATGCAGCATTATGCAGTGCGGTCGAACCATCCTTGTTGAGAAATTAAAAAATAATCCATTTATGTAATTAACGTGTTAATAATGTATAATGATAATGTTTATTGCTTATCCTCTTAAATACAAAAAAAAGTATCTTGCAAACATTTAAATAATAAAAATACCGAAATCCTAGGAAAATTCAAAACGGAAAGTCCTTTGCAAAATGTCAAAATCAAAAACTCAAACACATCAAACGAATGGAAAATAACTCTCATATTCCTGATTTGGACAGGCATTTCTTTATGTAAAAAATGGTGGATTAAACCTGGTTTTATAGCTATCTTAATCTCTCACTTGTATGACAGCAACATATAAGTATATTATATTGACAACAATGTGTGTGATAAAACAAACAGACATAATAGGTAAACTGTCAAACATTGGGGTACAGCAGTCCACATTGTGTTATAATCTTAATCACTATAAAAACAAATAACTATTTCAACAAAGAAAAACAAAATGGCATATAGACACCCTTTCCTCGATCTTGATATCTATATCATTAACGGAAAGCTTAATACTAAAATATATGATAAAAGAGATGATTTTTCATTTCCTATCGTTAATTATCCATTTTTAGATGGTGACGTTCCCTTGTCACCATCTTACGGTGTTTATATATCTCAACTTGTACGATTCGCTCGTGTATGTAACAATGTTTTAGATTTTAACGAGAGAAATTTATGTATTACTGAAAAATTATTACACCAGGGTTTTCGATATCACAAACTAGTCAAAACATTTACTAAATTTTATCATCGGTATAAGGACATCATTCGTAAATATAGCTCAACATGCAGACTTCTTATACGTTCAGGTATTTCACATCCAATTTTTTATGGAAATATTCTTTATAAAGCACAAAAATGTCAGTATTCACCTCTGAAACTAACAAAACCTTTAAATTGACTTATCAAGAAGGGATATAGTTACGATACTGTTGTCAGGTCATTAAAGATTGCATATTTTGGCGTTAATATTGATTCACTTATAGGGTCTTTGCATCGGCACTAAACACATTTATTTAAAAACCAGTTGTTGGCATGACACGGGTTATGTTCTTCTCATATATGTTATGATGGTATGATACTAAACCCCTAACGGGAAGGATTGTGCCTGATATTCATATGATGAAGACATAATCTTTCAATCAGTTTAATTGAAGTCTGGAGCTGGCATGTCAGTTAACTGCTAGTAGTCTGTTGTTATTTATGTATTATTGTCATTTGTTTATTTTCTTTGGTTACATCTTCTGACATCAGACTCGGACTTCTCTTGAACTGAATTTTAATGTGCGTATTGTTATGCGTTTACTTTTCTACATTGGCTAGAGGTATAGGGGGAGGGTTGAGATCTCATAAACATGTTTAACCCCGCCGCATTTTTGCGCCTGTCCCAAGTCAGGAGCCTCTAGCCTTTGTTAGTCTTGTATTATTTTTAATTTTAGTTTCTTGTGTACAATTTGGAGTTTAGTATGGCGTTCATTATCACTGAACTAGTATATATATTTGTTTAGGGGCCAGCTGAAAGACGCCTCCGGGTGCGGGAATTTCTCGCTGCATTGAAGACCTGTTGGTGACCTTCTGCTGTTGTCTGTTCTATGGTCGGGTTGTTGTCTCTTTGACACATTCCCCATTTCCATTCTCAATTTTACTCTATGAGCAAAATACATAAGCAAAACTGACAGACAAGAATACTAAAAAGTCCATAGCACAATAGTTCATTTATTTCACTTCCAGATATATTGATGCTTTTCTGTCACCCAATAACCGTTATTATGCATGCTTCCTTAATGGGTCAGTATAAATCAGTATATAGTTAATGTTTTATTATAAATAGAAAGTTATTGTGACTGTATGGTATGCAGAAGCTCATCATTTAATATTGTCTCCTTACACTGAATAAAGTGTGCCTCATATCTTGCTTTAAATCTAAAATTTCACCGACGGTCGGTTGATAGCTAAAAATTTCGAGAAAAAGCATGATTTCATCATCTAAATTGATAACTTTCCATTATCATGTAGCAATAGACCTTCAGCGTCGATATGTATCTCCCAGTTGAAAAAATAGTCTAGGGTTTAAGTTCATTATCACGATTTACTAGATAGAGGGTTAAAGATATGCATCAAGTATTCCAAACAGACAATTTGAAACGAATGTGTATCGTGGTATGTTGTTATTAATACTTCTGTTGTTTTGAATCGGCTACTATCCATTTATGGTCAGTGTGAATCCCTTGATAGATATGATTTCTTATCTTTACATAGTAAACTGCAACATATACCGCATAAGGTCAATGTCTAACTAAAATCAACTGTCTTGTATGAAGTTTGGAAGCTGTTGTATATAATACAATACAGTTGATATTTACGGACATTGCTTTGCTCTAATATTGATTTTATATTGAATTTTACATGAATACAATAACAGGATCACGATGTAGGCGAGGAAAAACATTGTATGAGCCCCTATTAGTGCACATAAGTTTTTGACATCAAATTGACATTGTTCAAAATGCGCATCCGGTGCAGTACAACTGCTTTCGATAATAATGTTGCTTTGTTGAGCATAGAAATTGTTTAGCTGAAGTATAGAAAATGTATTCAAACAAAATGTGTATTATTTACAAATGTTGACATACAACGAAACGATAATAGCCATTTTATCTGTGCTTGATTATCTTTGTGTTCGTTCTTCAAGTAAAGATTAACGTCAAGTTTTAAGATGATCTAATCAAGTTCTTTTATTGCAGTTGTGTACCATTACTTTATTGACTCAAAGTCAATATTCGTACCTCCCTTTTCATAGATATAAAGTTTGTTAGTGGAAGTATGCTCTTGTTAAATATAGTTAATATGAAAGTAATATTTGCATTACGAAAACATTATACAACATTATCATGACTATTTTACATATCGGTAAACGTGTCTATTAAGGGTTTATATTCTTTGAAAATATGCCTTCGAAATTATGCTGAACGATTTTGGCGTGATATCAAAACGAAATTAAAGTAAATCTAGCTGTGCAAATATATAAAAGAACAATACCAATGATTAAACAACTTGAAATCAACTATCTTTTTTCACAAATCTTCGAGATGAACTACTTGATCCCTTGTTAGAACTGTTTTATGCGAAAACATTATTTAGTTGAATAGTTATTCAAATGAAAGGTCACAATCTCCAGCTAGTTTAACTTGGTTGCCTTGTTGGATCTGTGAAATTCATGTGATAAACAGAGTCGCTTTTTTCCAAAGTATATTTGCTTATTTCCTTGTAGTCTCTTGTACTATCATCTTCTCAACTGGGACCCAATTGGACAGTGGTATTATAACAGCATTGATTTTAAGCTAGACATCAACGAATAGAATTTGAAAATATTTTTTACTCGTTCGATAACTCAATTTCATTGATATTATAAATTGACATGGCAAAAGATCACCAACCATATTTGATAATTATGTTTAAAAAGTCTGACTGACAAAGGTGGCCGTTTATACTTCGTTAAGGACATCACTTGATAACTGCACACTTGATGATGCATGTATGACACGACACAAGTGTGTATTGCACTTTGAAACTTAATGTTTGGTGAAGAAAGGACGTACTTGTTTCACTGTCCGACCCTTTTAGGTTTTATTAGATCTTAAAAGTTCATGGTAGGTCTTAAGTGTTCAATTGGACGTCCAGCGTCATTGCATAGACATTAAATGAAATATACACTTGATACATTTTGCGCATCTAAGGTGCTTTTCTGCATTTACCTTCATCTGAAACTCTAAAACCTTAAGCTTTGAAGGCCAGGGATTAGTAAATACGGTTCAACGCACGTTAGAAGCTTTATCATCAAACATATAGCCAATTTTATCATTTTCGAAAAGCACATATGGTGCAGTAAAATTAGTAACTGTCATGTCAGACTTTGACATGTGATTGGTTATTTTTCAGTGTAATTGATCACCCACTGACCTGTTCCTGTAAATTGACATCAATACCAGCCTTAATCAGCAACTTGACGACTTCTGTTTTCTCATTAAGTGCAGCAATGTGAAGAGCAGTTTTACCATTCTGATTATAAAAAAGCATATACCAATTTTAACCTAATATTGAATGATAAAGGAAACAGTTTATGGTTGGACTAAGCTTATTTTTAACCCGGTAGTCGATATCTGATTTCAACCATTTTGAATAAAGAATATACTAGTATTAGATCTATATTAGAGGGTATCATCAAGGTCCTGCAAATTAAGAGTTGACACATTGTAATTTGACATTTATACATGTTATATGTAATAAAACATTGACGAAATGTTGTAGCAGCCTAGACTTTATTTATGAATATAAAAGAGATTACACATGTTAACCTCATTTACCTTTTAATCCGAATATTAAAAGTGTTACACTTCAAAATGTTTACGGACGCCAAATTCGTAGCCATAATCCGTACAATTGCATTGACACTATTTAGTGTTTTTTTTTTGTTTTTTTTTGCTTTTATAGGCATAATTAAAGTTAAATTGTATAAACTGATATTATATATTGATTAATATGCCCCAATTGCTTGATGGGTAGATGTTCATGATTTTTACAGTTCTGCATGTCGTATTCATTTGTGACTTAATTGTTAATTTTTCCAACGCACTGCTTTTCTGTTTTGTATTCCAACCAATTAAATAAAAGTATGAATTATATTAGCTAGTTAATTCCTTGTTTCTTATTCAAACTTGACATCATAGGCTTATTCGCATATGGCTCAATACCTGTTTTGTTCAAACTATATGGTAAATTAAAACAACGTTGAAAATATATTTACGACACATGGCAGTATTTGTCAGGCAAGAAAATATTTATGGCAATATATAGGTCCATAAACCATGTAAAGGCATGCAGGCAGTTGGCCTCATCTTGCGGGTCGACCAACACAAATAATGAAAAAAGCCATTAAAACAAAATAAAAGAAACATAGACTACCCTATGAGTTAGAATATTGTTTCTAAATAACTTTTCCATCTGTTTTCCTCCTAAATGTCAAAAGACAACCGGACGGTTTCTGAGCAGAACAATGTTCTTCGTATTTATACACCAATATGGAGTTATTTCCTTTCAGAACGATATTAGGTCTTTTTTAGGATACAACCCGGACTATAGTTTCGATGAAAAGTGCCAGGTCATTATTTATCCCAATCATAATACAAACTTCAGTTTGTGAAAACATCCTTTGATAGTAATCGAGTGTTGTTGCTTATTGGAGATTTTCTATACAATTGTCCGTCTTAAATATTCCTTAACGGTTTTAGGCAGAAACAAATAACCCTTTACTCCATTAATAAGTTTGAAATACTAGTTCCAGAACACGTTTTTACGCACAATTGTATGAGATAAAATTATAGAATATTCTATCCTAATTCTCAATTTTTTAAGAAAGACTGTATTGTCAAGTAAAAAAAAGAGAACAAGCTCCTTTAAAACTGTTGAAGAAAATGCTTTTTCACCGAACAAATGTAATTAAACCAGTGAAAAAACATACCGCCCCTTTTATTAAATAAATATAATAAATTACTTACCAAGTAACTTTTTTTTCATATATCAAAACAATTGTTTTATTTCTTGCTTCATGCAATAACAGTTAAATTGAAAAAAACAATCAAATTGGACAGTAATAACTAACATTATATATTTTATTTCACCATATAATTTAGCCGTTGTGTGTTGTTATACATAAACACACGAGAAAAGAATATCCTATTTCAATGTGATAGGTAAAATAAGATGCAATTTTCTACAAATCTTTGCAAAAAATAATGATGTTTGACGGAAAGGGAGTCAGGTAATGCATATGTTAAGGTTTTTCATGTCGTATTACACACCTCAGTGTGTCAGAATTGCCCCCAAAAAAGATCTCCTGACAACCCATCAGTGTGTTATACAAGAAGACCTTGTAAACATTTTTTTGGAAAAGCACGAAGAGGATTGTATCGTTCACTAGAGGAATGGTAGGAATGTTCAAATTACAAATTCGTATACAACAACTTGACGAAATAAACGTCAATATAGGGTCATGTATATACACAGATAATAACCAGGATGAGAGTACTCCCCATTGACCTGCTAACTGAGATATGAAGACAATGTCACAAGTAACTCCAATATATTGTACATGTGCACTTGTAGATTTGTCATACATGAACAGAATGTCCCATAGTTTGCCGGTTACACCAAATTCTATCAATTTGAGAAAAAAATCCGTCATGCCAGATTTAATCAGCCGCCTTTTCCTTATCTAGAAAACCAACAGAAATTTTATATACTCGTTGAGTGCATATAGAGCGGGAAAAGTCCCTTGTTCAGGTACAAAACCAAACTTTATCTGTTCGAAATACTCTTGTCCTTGATTTTCCCTTATATAACAGAATTAGTATTCCATGTCAATATATTAACAGTACATATTCGAATCTAAGTATCAAATTAGATATACAACAAATCCATTTCAACAAAGTTTTGCCGCCGTATAGTGTTCGTTGCATTGATTGTCCGGTCCTGGCGGCTTACTACATTTCAAGGTTTTCATTAGATCACATATTTCATCTTCAGTGTAGGGCACATCTAGAAAGAATCTAACGACTTGCTTGATTGACTGCTGTATTTAAGAGTTGCTTTCTGTAACTTCACGATAAAATGACTGCTCAAAATAGTCATGTTCTTATTTTACAAATTTCAAAACAAATATGCAAAGTGGCAATCAAAACCATAATGAAGTTTATATACTGATGGAAAACACTATCATATTTAACTTCGTGATTCCCGACAGGATATACTTTAAGCCCATCAGTAAAAATAAAAACAACACATTATAAATTTCATGTGTCCGAAGCGTAATTTACATATCTGTACACACACTGACAGGTATGTACTGTTTATACATAACCAGGACAGATAGCACTCCGAAATATTATAATGTATTACGGCTCTTTTGAAGAAGAAAAAAAAAACAGATGTATAACGGGTGTGGTGGCCAAACAAAAAACAAACGAATATATAACCGGTGTTCTGGATTAAAACGAACCAACGAACCCACGTAAAGCGGATGTTATGGAACACACAAACATACACTAAAACGCAATATCTGCTAGGTATATCATTAAATTGGAGCTATACAGTATCATTGCACACATGTGTTACGTCAACAAACGTTTTACGTATTTTTACATACATAATTGAAATGTTTCATACATGCATTTTTGCATGCGTGGTCCTGAACATGCGTTTTACGTGTGGTTTATAACATACGTAAGACGCCTGTTTACCACATGCACAATGGGTATATAAATCATGCTGTGTACATATATAAATATACAGTGTGTGTGTGTGTGTGTGTGTGTCTTCATTGTACATGTTACAGCAGAACGGATGTTTCCTCATTTCAGTGTCCTGATGATAGCCTGTTATTTGTTTTATCAATGCAAATTCACCTATATGATGTTATAAATGAATTGTTACTCGTGCTTGAGAAGTATTCTCTCATGAATTTCCAATTATGTCGTATTCAATACTGAATTAGAAACTATTGTGTGAACTACTTCATTTTTTACCGTCTGTCTTGTTTTTTTTAACAAGAAGATACATTAGAAGTATTTCTTCCTTGTCAAATACTTTGACAAATATAATGATATGCCCCATGTTTGACTGAATCAATATATAACGGTTGTTGTGTTTAACAATGATACGGTTTGTTGAATTCTTTTGACTCTGTATCGTCTCTAGCTTGTTATTACTACCATGCATTTATTTTCGCCAACGTACATATTATATACTGTATTATGGAAATCTAGCTGACTGGCTGTCTCGAATCAGCTAGGTTTTATTTTTTTTTTATTTTTCACGGAAGAACAGTAATTAAACATTGTTTCTTTGCTGTGTGTTTTCCCTATTTTGTGAAGGGAATTGCAACACGCCATAACATTTCCATTCATAAAAATAAATGCAGAAAGATATCAATACAGTATCGGTAAATAACATAGTAACATCAGAACAAAAGCTACACAAATACGATTATAAAAGATACAATACTTCCCATAATCCATAACTTAATTTTACTTTGTCCATCCTATCATTTTAGAACAATAGAACATCGTGTTTTTGTATTTTTCTAAACCAACATCACCGTGTAATTATTAGGTGGATTAGACCTGGGATTAAGTTTATGTGTTTAACCCACGAACTAGACAGCGAGTTTAGTCTACGTATGTTAAGCATGGGTTCTACGTGTGGTCTATACTCTGTATGAACCTATTGACATCAAAATAATTACATTGACATTTTTATTTTAAGAATGAAATACTGTAAATTCTGAAATTATTGCGATGTTTTTATTCTTGCGAAAAATGCGACAGGGTTATAATCGCAATAATTTAAACTCGCATTTTGAAATTTTTTATATGAATTAAACAGGATTTTTCTCAATATCGCAAAAATTTAAATCGCATTTTAGTCTAAAATGACAAAATCGCAATAATAAATGCACGCAATAATTTCTGAATTTACAGTAGTAGGAAGAATTATTACTTTGTCCCAAATACGCCAATAAAAACTTGCCAGGACGATACCGAAATTCAGTCCTTTCTGCAAAATGTTTAATGCAACAGTGTGTTACAGATTTATCAAGTAATTTACATGAGTAGAAATGATATGGGGTATCCATCTATGACACAAATTCAGTTTGTGCACAGCAAAAAATCACAAAAAGCGAAGGAACAGCGCTTTTATTGCTGCCCTTCGTCTCAAAGCCACAAAGAGGCCTTCAACAAGGAGAAAAAAAAACTCTAACCTCACTGCAAGTTTAAGACGGCCCTAGACGATATTCTGAAGGATAGTTTTAATATCCTATATGAGAATAACTTTATCGAAAAGATATTTTTGAAATATTACGGGATATCAAAATATCCTATAGGATGTTCATTTGATACAAACATTTTTAAAAGATAGATTATATCAAAATTCAAATATCCAAAGTATTCATTGTCTGACCGTAAACACGTTCCACTATCATCCGGTAACGAGTTGAATACTGTTGATTTAGGAATTTTTAAATTAGTTATTGCTTTTTTACCTCGTTTTTAAATGTAAATACAGAAGAAAATTCCATGAACTATATCTTCATCTATGTGCTTTCACTTTGTTTTTATACAATGCCATTGGCAATGTTGTGTCACCAACTATGCTGCATGACGTCAGAGGAGTGAACTTGTCGTTTTTTTTTTCCTCTACAAAATTACAGTATACTACTGCAAGCACTATTGTGAATTTTAGCCTAAAGTAAATATTGATGAAAATCAGAAACGACCCTATCGCATATTTTATAATATTGGTTCTACTCATAGGACCAAACTTCAAAAGAACAAATTATGCAACATTGTGACTTATGTACATCTCATGTTCAAACATTTTCAAACATTGAATACGTTTCAATTACCGGTAAAATTTTGTAATACTCTATAATTTATATTTTCTCTTTCCCGTTAGATTTTGTATTGTTCTAAATAACCTAAGTTTATCCCATAATAGTTTTGTTTTCTAAAAGAAATGTTATCGGGAAGAAATTGCGACAGGAATTCCATTTCTTTAATATTTACTATTGTTATAGGAGAACATGTATCTCATAAGATTGCTAAATGCTATAGGAGAAAAAAAAATCTGCAGGATGGTTTGAAATAACCTATATGAGTAGAGCTGTATCCAATAAATATTTTTGAAACCCTAACGGATATTGAAATATTATATAGGGTTGTATTTCTTGTTTTACCTGTTGCACCAAACCCCGTTGATTGTTAAAAATATATGTTTGTCACCTATTCACTTTACAAGGACAATCATGTTTGCCAAATTGGGCTGACCTACCTTAAACAAAATGGTGGCTTGGATTGGCACTCAGAATAAGTGCAAATTAATTCGAGGAACTGCTTCACACCAAATCACTATAAGAAAGGAATTTAGAGTGATATCGCTGCATGGAACTTGCAATCATGTTAGATACAAAAAGAATCACATCGACCTATATGCTAACTACACTAACGTGCTTGTTATATGTGCTGTTCATTCAATATCATATGTAAACACGTGTAGGTGGTAACATATAGGCAAACGTCTTACATTTAAAAAAAAAAAGCATAATTAGAAAATAAAACAGACTTCACTTATGCAAACATATGGCAATTGGTTGGTAACATATTCTGTAGTCTACAGGGTTTGACACGCAATAGCTTCATATTTGACCGATCGCCAATCTTTTAGTTAGTTAGTTTATATCCAATCTACAACTTACCTTGTCCTGCACATTGATATTAATACCCTTGTCAATAAGCCAGTGCAAAATAACTGTATTCCCTTTACATACAGCGTCAAACAGTATATTCGAACCATCCTTCATAGAAACAAAACATGTCGCAGTTATTAAATAACGTGGTTAGATATATATGAGAACAAAAGTTAATTTGAAGTAACTACGTAATGTTGTCTTGTACCTCTGTTCTTTTGACTCAAAGTTATTATTTAAACAAATAGAATTATTAAGCAAAGAAACACAGCTCCTATAGGTGTCATTTTGTTTCCTGTAGTGTATGTTAATTTTCTTAATTGCAGTTACATTTGTCATAAACGTCGCACATTTTAATTATCGTTACGATTTTCATTGTTTAAACGCACAAACTGGTTATGTAAGCATAACTTATCTAACTATCTTAATTGTATCAGTTATTTTTCCATGACATAAAATCATACAGTAATAGTGCAGGTATCGATATTTTTTTCTGTTACATTCATCAACAAATCTATCAAATTATGTTGCTGGTCTTGGTTCGATACCTATTCTTATATATTTTATAATTAAAATGAATCATTTAACAAAAAAGTAAATTTGGTGAATTCCATATTTGGCCTCGAATAATACATTTTTTTTTGTCAGTCTATTGTCTTCAGATACAAAATGTTTCAAGTTGATGAAAGTGAATTATAACTTTTTTTATCAATTGTTTTATTACATAGCGTTTATATTTATCACCAAACAATAGAAATTTTGATGAAAGCTTGATTTGAATCAAAATTAAGCCAATGAAACAAGGAGCGGAAGCTTTAAAAAACATAATATTCAAGTCCGATTTGCAATCGGTTATACCAATCATACTGTTGAAATATCTGTTTTGTCGAGGCATGTGCTGTACATGCTTTATATATCTAGTCCTCAAAATCAATGCAAGTGTAACAGATTTCATTGAAATGCCGTGGGAAACCAAAATTTGTGCTATTTGTCAGGTCATGAATAAAACATATTAATTTTCAACATTATTAGTTATCTTGGTGTAATCAGGGGTGTACAGAATTTTCAACACCGGTGTAAAATCCCGTACACCCCTGAGTACACCAAGATAACGAATTTATTTCTTATGAATCGTTCCTTTACTCCTTTTTAAACCGGGATGTAAAATTTAAAAATGCTAATGATGAATTTCCAGTGCAACATTTTTTCAACACCGATGATGCTGCGCATTGTCAAATATTTTTTTTTTTTTATTTTTCTTTATTTTCAGGAAATTTGGTAATTTTTTTATGTTTTTTTAATTTTTGGGATAAAAAACATTTTTAATTTTTTTTAATTTTTTTTAATTTTTAAATTTTATTTTTTGCCCCCAAATCATTTTTTTTTTTTTTAATTTTACCATTTTTTAATTTTTTTTTTCCATTTTTGCAAATTATATTTTTTTCTTCTAAATTTTGGCAAATATCTTATTTTTTAAAATTTTTGGCAAACTTTTATTTATCCCAGGGTGAACAAGGGTGGAGTGGGTAATAAACCATTCAGATTGCAGGATTTTTGCTGCATAAGAAATAAAAAGATTTATTTCCTGTCAATGTTTGAGCTTTAATATTAGTCAATAAATCCGTATTTTAAGTTTTGGCTGAGAATAAGGACTTTATTAAAGCCTTATAGAACCCACTCATTAAAAAAAAATATATACATACTTTCGTCATTCATACAAACAAACTAACATTTTTGAAAACAATCACTGACACTATTATCATCAAGATGCTTGATATTTATTGACAAAATATTTGTCGCGTTTGGATGATTTTTTTGGATGTATGTCAACAAATCATTGAACCAACTGTGTATCTTATTATAGGTTCTTGTCGACCTAAAAAAAAATCAAAGTTTGATGACTATGTCGAACGCACTTATCCCATTGAACTTGAAATGAAGGATAACATACATACAATCTACGTCTTATCTTGACTTATATTTAAACATTGACAATTGGGGTCGGTTGAGAACCAAACTGTACGACAAAAAGCCTGATTTCAACTTCCCAATTGAATGTAGCAACAGTCCAGCAGTGCCGGTATATATCTCCCAGTTGATGCGATAGTCCAGTGCTAGCGTTTCCTATCAGTATTTTATTTATATAGGATTACTGTTTACCAAGAAGCATAAACATCAAAAGTTACAAATGGTTAAGCGGAAGAAATCCTTTACACAATTTACGGACGCCATCTGTGTCACATTTGACTAGGGATATGTTCACTTATCGTAACGAAAATTCAGTCCCCATCTTTTCGATTATGCCTAGCTTTTATGTTACTTATGGATCGTTTGTTATTGTGGTAAAGTTTGTCCTTTTAATTATTTTATTTTTTATTTTTGACAATTATAATTTTTGTTTAATTGGATTTTTTAGTGTTGATGCTCCCTTGGGATCGTCTCTCTTTTTTATACTATATAATTGTGTGTGACAGTCCTATAGTAATTTGAAAAATCCTATTGAATATTGAAATATCTTAAAAGATTATCTATTTTTACATGCAGGCAATTGACAAGGTGTTTTGTCATGTATTACATCTACCATGACCGACATGTTTGGCAAATTTAGTTGAACTACCTAAACAAAATTGTGTCTTGGGAAAAGAGCAAATCAAACTCACCATAACAAATACACATTCTAACTTATATTGATGCATGGATCTTAAAATTATGTAACGTACAAAAAGGCAAAATTGACCTCTTTTCTACCATTTCTCTAACGTGCATATACTATTTTACATACATGTAACACCATATGTGGGTGGTTAAATATTGACAAGCACATAAAAAATAAATAACAAAAAATACAGAACTCCAAGGAAAATACAAAACCGAAAGTCCTTTATTAAACGAAAATATCAAAAGCTCAATCACATCAAACGAATGGAAAACAACTGTCATATACCTGATTTGGTACAGGCATTTCCTTATGCAGAAAATGGTGGATTAAACCTGGTTTTATAGCTAGCATTTACTCTCAATTGTATGACAGTCGCATATAATTCCTTTATATTGACAACGATGTGTTAGCAAAACAAACAGACATATTAGGTAAACATGTCAACATTGGGGTACAGCAGTCAACTTTGTGTTATAATCTTAATCACTATAAAAATAAACAACTATGGCAACAACAAAAAAAACAAAACGGCATATAGACATTCTATAGTCAAAGCACAAAAGCAAAAATGAAACACAAGAATAAAAAAATATCACAAAAACACAATGGCGGAATGTATAAATACCGAGCCACGCCAAAAGAATATTACCAAAAACGGATAAAAGAACAAAGGTTAAAAATATACATAAATACTTTATACATCCACTATAACACGCAATTAAGATGCTAACAGTATCTAACATCTATATTTCAAGACCATCATGTATTGTTTGTGAAGTTGATACGGAATATTTATCAACATGGTCTGGTTTTTACCGATGAACTTTAAAAAAAAAAGGACAGATAAAGGCAACAGTAGTATACCGCTGTTCTTTGACATAACCCTGGTTCATCAACTTTCTGTTCAGACGCTGGTGACGCTTTATAAAGTCTAAGAAGGAGCTGCAAGCTCTTGAATACCTAACAAGTTGGGAAATATGTATCCCATATGCAGGTGAAGTTGGTATAATTATTGCTGCTAAGGTGGGCGAAATTTATAATTAAAAATTAAAATCGTCTTGTTTGTCATAGATGCTGGTACTGAGATTACCGCTTATGTCGAATTCGAGGTATAAGTATAAAAATAAGTCGGAAGAAGCAGTGCCTGTTTTTCTTTAAATTCTAGTTCTGGAGGATATAGTAACGGAATCCGATCAAAAAAGTTTGGATTTTTAATGGAAAGAACATCATCAGTATATCTTAATGTGAAATTAAATGATCTGGCTTCTTTGGTCTTCCTGTTTTTGACAAGTGTCTGAAGGAACTCCGACTCATATGAAAATAATAAAAGGTTGGCAAGTAGAGGCGCACAGTTCGTTCCCAAAGGAATTACGAGAATTTGTTGAAAATGTATATCTCCAAATTCAACAAATGTGCTCCTCTCTATACGTTTTTATAAATGAAACATATTAAGAACAGTAAGAATAAACAGACTTTGGATTTACATACATATAGCAAATTCCTGATTGGAACAACAATTGGTTTACATTTTGAAATACTGTCTAACATTGGTAACACTTGTATGCTATTTGTTGTTACTTTACAGCAAAAAAAACAAAAAAACAAGAGAAGTGACATCAATTACCAGACAATAGTTTTTAATGCTCCTTTATAATATAACATTCGTGAATTAAGTAAACGCTGGGTTGGCATTGACCTGCACTCTGCACTGTTTGCCACGGAAGTTATGTATATTCTCATTTTAATTCAGTTTTTCGTTTGTTATATTTCAAATCTATAACTTACCTTGGTCTGAAAATTGATCTCAATTCGATTGGCAATAAGTAAATGGACAATTTCTGTATGTCCTCCATCTGCAGCACTATGAAGTGCAGTAGAACCATCCTTAATATAGAAACAGTAACGACATTATCGTGTTAGATGAAATTGATAACCTGCTGTTTTAAATTTTACAGCATTGGATCGATACCTTTCCTGGTGGACTATCAGTCCCGAGAGAATAATCAGTACGTCGGTACTGACATGATTTATAACAAACCATTGTTGAATATATCCTTAATAGATAAAACATGTTAAAGGAATACCAATATATATGATTAAGTCTGCCTCATATCTTGACTTATATTTAGAAATAAACCATAATTGTCTGTTTTAAACAAAACTTTAATACAAATGGCATGCATTCTGCTTCCCAATTGTAAACTTTCAATTTCTCAGAATAAACAAACTTGGGATATACATACATATGGCAAATTCCTAATAGGAAATTCGTCGTTTCATCAACAATTGGTTTACATATTGAAATACCGTGTATGAAACCATTATAGGGCACAAAAGTTGTTGACATGAAATTGACCTCACACAAAATGCGCATCCGGTGCAATGCAATTGCTTCCGTTTAAAATTATCTTCCTCAAGTTTCCTTGTCCGACCCTTTTAGGATTTAAAAGATGTTTACAGTTTCCTCATGTTTTAAACATTCAATGAGGTGTCCATCATCATTGGTGCAGAAAAATTGTCATTGCAGAAATTGACATGTGACTGATAATTGTTGGATTTGGTTTATCACATACTGACCATTTCAAGTAAATTGACATCAATACCAGCGTCGATTAGTAACTTGACGATTTCTGTTTTACCGTTCAATGCAGCAATGTGAAGTGCTGTTGTACCGTTCTGGATAGAAAAAAAAACATTTAAGCTTTACATTGACTGATAAATGAGGCAACTTAAAAGCAAGTAAAACAAAGTAGGGTTGCACTAAGCTTATATTGAACCCGGTAGCCAATATCAGATTTCAATCAGGAATAAACAATACTACATTCTACATAGATATTTTGATAGAATGCATCACACATTCAGACTAACAAACAAATATAAACTATACCTTGAAATTACGTAATGACATAACTAGTTTTTGTTTTTATTTGAATTCAGATTTGTCTTTTGTATCTATCAAAAATAGGAAAATACTTGAATTATACATACTAATTCTAGAACACTTATAACATAAGATACGCGAAATATCAAAAAGTCATTTGAACACCAAAATAAAACGAAAACATTGCAATATACATGGCAACACGTTTGAATATAGAATATATTATATCTATATTAAAGGGGATTATCAAGATGCTGCAAATTAGGAGTTTACACATTGTTATGTGATATTTATCTGTATGAAAACATTGACAAAGTGTTATTGCAGCCTAGACTAATTCTTGAATGTATAACAGAGGTTTGACAGGGCAAATTTCTTTACCTTAAAATCCGAGAATTAAAAGTATGACACCTCGAAAGTTTGACGGGATGCCAAGTGTCGTAGCCATAAGCCCTACAGTCGTTTTGGCACTATATAACGCTTTATTTTGCTTTTATATGTCAAAATAATTGAAAATTGACTATATGCATAATATTATTAATTTGAAGGTTCAGGAAGATCTAGCCAATGCTCTGGGCTCTTTTACCTGAATTTTCGACGATTTTAATTGAATTTGATTTAAACATATTTTCTTCATTAAGATATGAAAAGGATTGAGCAACAGGCACAGCCTATACAAGCTCTCTCAATATTACATGTACAAGGTATAAATCAAATATTAACAGTGAAACTTTTGTTTTAATGTCATTTGTTATGTACATGCTTGAGGCTACGTATATACGTTAAATTCGGAAGAAGTACTTACTTTACAGATGTTATCTTGCCTATTAATGTTATTTTTTTCTTTGCCCAGTCTGATGTTATTTCCTCACAGTGTTTTAAGTTGTTATTTTTGTCCGTATTAAATAAAGGCAACAGTAGTATACCGGTGTTCAAAAGTCATAAATCGATTGAGAGAAAACAAATCCGGGTTACAAACTAACTATAGTAGGAAACAAAAGGAACAATAGGAACACTGAAGTGCAACAAAAACAAACGTCAACATACATAGAAACGAACTATTTGATAACAACTGCCATATTCCTGACTTGGTACAGGACAATTTAAGTAAAAATGGTCAGTTGAACCTGGTTTTACGGCTGTAACCCGGATTTTTTTTCGCTTAATCGATTTATGACTATTGAACAGCGGTATACTACTGTTGCCTTTTTGATCACATTTAATACATTACTTTTAAAGTTGGTTCTTTTTAAAGTGTATAACATAAAGTTCCTCTCAAACGATTTAGAAATATCCACAAATAGTATACCTCCATATACTTTGAAGTTCTCTGAGTAATCTTTTACGTCTGATTTGAAGTCATATTAGTTCCTAATCCATTTTTAATTTAGGCTTTTTTGGTCTTTCTGTATGATTTTTGGTAAACTTATTTTAATCTGGGCAAGCGCATCAGGTAATAATTTTACATCATAATTCAACAAGGTTATAAATAAGGTTATATGACGATTGTTGTTTAAAAAAGAGAGAGGATCTTTTTCATATATAAATGATATGGCTTTTTCCTTTTGTGAATATTTTTATATAAACAACAACCAAAAACGGATATATTTGGCCTTTTAATCCTTCCCAAAATTGTTTGTAAATTTCAACATTAAGTCCATCTAAATCTGGAACCTGTTTTGTTCATTAAAGTACTGTGATTGTTTCATAAACTACTTTCACATTCATGCAATTAAGGGCATTCTTTGATATATTCTGAATATTGTGTAGTATTTTCAATAGCGGGATTCGTAGTGGAATATACATCTTTGCAATAAATTACTTCAAGATTAGTCACTTTAGCCTTATCAGTAACTCTATTTTTGTTATCATCATACGCTATAGTATTTTTGTTTGCATCGTCTTGTTTTTTCAAGCCTTACAAAAGATTATTTATTCTTTTCTCCCTCGTCAAGCCATCTCGCATGTGATCTTATTTGATTGCTTTTATTGTTACAAATCCCCTGATTACTTTTCCACGTTTTCAATTGGTTATCAAATTCTTATCATGACACACATTCGTGATTGTATCAATTTCGGTATTTAATTTTTTTAATTCATTTTCCAAAACATATATTTAGTCGTGCAATTACGAACTCTAATTTCAAGATCAAGAATATCAAGGGTTTTTGATTCATTTGCTTTTATTCTAGTTTGTGTATTATTTTCTGATAATTTTCATAATTTCAAACACTACTATTTGATTTCCAATATTTCCGCCCTTTTGTAGTTGTGGACATCTGTAATTTTCAGGATACACAATTATGGTCGGTATATCGAAAAACAATATGTCTTATGTCACAGAAGCAGCATTTTTTTTTAAACTTCAGAACCAACAAGAAGGAAGTCAGTCATTTCTTGTTGCCTCTGTTTGAATTTTTTAACACCAAGTGAATCGGGTTGTTATACGTTCTTTGCCCGCCATATATCTGTTATATTAAGTGTTAAAATTACAGATTCATTTCCAGATACTGAATTGTCAAATTATGTCTGTCATAAAAAGTCTGTTATTTTTATTTTAGATTATTTTACGAATAACATACGTTAAAATGTCCCCTGTTATCAATTCTCTTAGACTTTATTTATCAAAAAAGGTTTTAACTGATTGAAAGAAAGAGATTCATTCTGTCATCTATTTAAAATGTATCAATAGAAGCTTCCAGTCTTCGTCTTGATAGTTATCAATAATTGTATAATCCATGGAACTTCTTAGCCATATGGTTACCCCTCGTGGATGGCTTCGACCAATGCTAAAATACATATCTAATCTATTTTCTTTTTAATAGTATCTTCTAAATTGTTAGTAAAATGTGTCTCTTGGAGTTGTTGCTTACTCCTTTGAATCAGTTCTTAATTGTGTCAGTTTGCTGTAGACATTTTGTCATTAAATCTAATTTAGGTTAATGTAGGTTAATTACGGCATTGTTCAGGGGAATCACCCATTTTCTACAGTAGTCTTTATCGATTATATGCTTTCACCTGCCATAAAACATTGCCAAACTAGATACACAATCATCGTCTGTTGTGATTCTATTTTTAATAGTGCAATGTAAGTAATTTAGAGTAATAATATCAGCGCCTGCATACATAGTATATATATGCCTGTTGATGCGATATTCCAGGGGTTGAGTTTTCTATAAAGGATCCATCGATATGGGTTACTGATTAAAGAAAGCTATTACACCCAGCGTTGTAAATGGTCAAGTTGAATTCATTCATTGGAAAGGTTTACGGACGCCATCATGTTTTTTTTTACCGTTATCGAATATATATGCCACATAGGAACACGGATATGTTCCACTTGTCGTAACCACAATCCCTCCCTCATCTTCTGCATAGTGATATTACAATGTGCGACCGGATTTTTACCTGAATTAGGTAATTGGGAACAGCTTACCCGTCCGCAACACATGAGTTGACCTCAGTGTTAAATAGGTTCGTATTACCCAGTCTCTAGTTTTCTGTATGGCGTGTTGTTATTGTTGCTTGTCCTTCCGTTGTTTTTTTCTCTTGGCAATGTCATTGTTTGTTGTTTTTTGGGGGGGGGGGGGGTGCGGGTGGGGGTGAGGGGGGGACTTTATAATTGTAATATATTCTCTCTCTGTTTTATCTTAAAAGTTTTTAATAAAATCCTAAATGATTTTGTAAAATCCTATTAAATGTTAAATTATCCTATATGATTGATAATATTTTCCATCTAGCACCCAAACTAGGTGATCAAAGTAACATGTGTTTTTGACTTTTATTACCTGTACCATGTCAGACATTTTGGCCAAATGTGGTTGATCTGCTTTCAAAAATGATGTAGCTAATTTGCACTCGATAATAGTGCATGTATTTGGTATAGGAAATATAAATTTGAACCTATATTGCAAAGATCTTGAAATTATGCAAAATAAAAAATCTTTTCTTTTTATACTTTTACAAAAACATATTTTGAAAAGTAAGAATACAAAGACTTTGGTTATGCATACCAATTACAAATGCCTGATTGGAAGTGCATCGTTTCATCAACAATTGGTTTAAACATTGAAAGATATTCGAAAATTGGAACCATGTTCATACAATTGGGGGTCGTTTAAGGGCAGCTTAAAGCAAAAAACCAAAATATTATCAATAATCAAACTGCAATTTATAATGCTACTTTATATCATAACATTAGTCAATTGAACAGACGCCGTGTTTTCATTGTCCTGCACTATACCATGTTTGCCGTGGAAGATATTGACATTTGACCGACCGCTCATGTTCATTTAGTATTTTAGTGACAATAAATGAAGGAAACACTCAATAAATATCGCTCGGCGGAGAGCCTTCTCTGTATGTTCCTATTTTAGGAACGCTCAAACCTAAACATTTGAAAGATAGAAGATAGGGATGCGTAAACAAGGTGCAACGTTGGTTTATGTATGACCAAAAAGAACCCACTCAAAATAACTCAAATAATTGTGCAATACATATATAATGCATTCAACAAAATAACCGAACTCCAAGGTTAATTAAAAAAGGAATCAGTTTGATTTATCTACTACTGACCTTTTCCTGTACATTGAGATCAATACCAGCGTCAATTAGCAACTTGACGATTCCTGTTTTCCCGTTCCATGCAGTTGCAGTAATGTGAAGTGCAGTTTCACCATTCTAGATATAAAAAAAAAACATACAACAGTTTTAACATAACGCTGAATGATAGAGAAACAACTTATGTTATCAAACAAAGCCAACCAATGCAGTGTCGCACTATTTTTTATAGTCAACCCGGTAGTCGATATCAAATTGCAATAAGAAAGTACCATTAGTACATATTGCATGTATTTAGTGTGACTTAATACAAATAAATAATTAGCAATCCATATTATAAAATGCCTCGTATATTCAAAATGAAAAACGAATATATAATATACTTAAGACATAACTGTATTGTATTTGAAGCTTTGCGGACGTCCTTTGGTTAGTTACTGTCGCAAATGGAGTTTCCGTGGCGACAGATAAACGAATATTTGCGACATTAAAATTACCGATGGACGTCCGGAAAGCTTCAAATACAATATATGTATCTCTATGAAAAATAAACAAATCATTCAATTTTAGTCATTATTTCGATTTAAAAATTGTCCTTAAAAAAACATTCCTCGACATGATGTTATATTTCTTTGGCAACATAACTAGGTGACGTCATAGGTATACTTCTGGTGTCGAACGTAAACAGCCTCAGAATGTAATACAGATTGATCAATTGAAGATTTCTATATGTAGGTGCAACATGTTAGTATTTAGCTTATTATTGGATAAATAACATTTCAATACATTCCGGAATTCTAAATGTCAACTTCCCTTAGTTACAGACAGGGAAATAAGGATGTTATATCATGAATGTGTCATTTATGGAATCATAAAGGTGATATATCACAAAATATGTTGTACACTAAATCAAACTGAAAAATTGCAATAAACATGGTTTAAGTTATAGAGAAAGTCTAAATAACTGTCCATTCCTGTGAAATAATGGAGCTAATTGAAAATGCACCTTGAATATTTAGAACGAATCTCAGATTATAACATTTTAAAGAATTTTATTTCATTTGTAATGGTTGTCTTTTCATTTTCCCCGTGTTGTACCCAATAATCCGCAGTCAAAATTTAAGATCAAGCTGACCATCTACTCACTAAATGAAGTATTTATGAACTGTAGAATAATTACTATAAAAAGAATTTGAATAAAATTCATCCATATTTATGTTTTAAGTCATTGGATTCGCAAATCTTTCTTGTAATGGGATTGAAAGGATATTTATTTGTGTCTTTTGGTAGAGAAAAAAAAACCTAGTATTTATGCATATATTATGTAAATGGATGTGTATTTTTTCGTTTGATAAATATTGGATATATAATCGTCTGAGAAAAATTAAAAATGGTACAAGTAGAATAAATTCACAGGTATGTAACACTCTATTATAGGTATATAACTTATAAGGGTGTGCTCGTTTATAAGTCATATCGGAAACAACATGTGATTCTATACTGCAAACAATTATATTAGATGAAACAAAATTAAACAAGAACACAGTGTTTCATGCAATACATTTTTTTCTTTCCCCTTGCTCATTACAACGAACAAAGATATTATGCAGTTTTTTTAGATGAGTCTTAAATAGCAATACAAGCAAACTGAAAGTATTTTTCATTCTTCACTATTATCAGAAAGAAAGCAAAAAGGTTTTAGAAAAAACAACCGCATGATTAAAAACATTTCTGAATTCCGTTTTGTATGTCTTTAACTTAATTTAAATATTTCAAGATTAACGCCGTCATTTGCACTGTCATTATAACTGTTATATTTGCCACTGGATATATAACAACTGTGACTGAATTCGATTATGTTATGTGTTTCTGTTGAAAATTGAATAAAAACCCCGCCCAATATTTAACACAAGCCTTATTCAAATGCTATCCATACACCTTCAAACTCTATTCATTAGTGCTATATTCAAATTATAACAACGAACAATCAAATAATATACCGAATACGACATTTTGATCGTTTGAGTTTCTTGAACAATAATTTATTCTATTAAACCACAATAATATTGTACAAACTATCCGAGTAGTTTTTTCTGTTTTTAATGTATAAATCGAAATGCAACAAACGATTTTTGCTGTACAAAATTAAAATACAACATTTTGAATTTCAAGGAAATATATCTTAAACGGTATCATTAAAGCAAATCTTAAAGTGAAATATATTTTCTCTAATTTTCATTATTGAATAATGTTAATGTGTTCAGTCGTTACAAAAGAATTCAACTGAGTCAACACATTTGATATTTTGTAGATGCACAGAAGAGGAATGGCACCCAATGGAAAATATTTTACCCACTTGGATACTATTCCTGACAGAAAATCAGCCAATATTTGCATCCCGGAAAATAAATTGCGGATAATGCTGTAGAATTTTATTGAATACGATACTATATATTATACGATTGAATTACGACTCTCAAATAAAAGCTGTTTGTTAATAATGAGATATTTGGTGTTCATTGCATTACTACGATCCCAATTTAAAAAAAATCCAGTATCAGCCGTTTTAGTAAGTTTTCATCTTCATTCAACATGTTCAATATTGCGTTACTTCCTCTAGAATTATTTTCATGGGTGAACACTTTTTAAGAAAGTGCCCATGGAAACATTCAAAGGGCAAAACGTCTGGATGAATGAAGATGAACAATCGAAAATAACTCTCCATTCCTGAAAAAATAATTGAGAATTGAAAAAAGATTTACGTCACGGGTGTATTTGATTTTAACATTTGAATAATACAGATGCTAGATATATATTGATCATACATATCCTGTTAAGTCAAATTTTAACAGATGTAATGAAGCATTGATATTGTTGTGTCCTGAACACTTATTGATGAATATAAGGTTAGTATGACACGGCAACTTTCTTTACATTGAAATCCAACAATTTAAAGTATGATGCCTCGAAAGTTTGGTGACACTTGAAAGTTTGGTGACACTTGAAATTGACATTTGAAATTTTTATAAATAAAAAGTTTTAAGGACAAAAATTGCCATCAAAATTTTACGGTTTGTGGTAAAAACACATTTCTCATTAAATGAATAATATATTATTGCTTTTCAATATAGTTAAATGACAGTAAACTGTCCTCATGGAAGACCCCAATTTCATGGAAAATCTTTTAAAAGCTTTTTCTTATAGTTATCTCCCCTAATGTGATTTCTTCAATAAAGAAGTAACATGAAGCAAATTAGTTGAGAACGCCAAAGTTGTCACACTTGATTATAATAATATGCATGTGTAATAAGAGAGGTCTTATACAGTCAAAGAATAGATAAAGGTACCCTACTGATGTAATATATCACAAAAATTTTTCTCCTTGTGGTAGCTCCCATTATAATGCATCATCTGAGGATATCATACACATTTTGAAATGTGAGAAGCCAGTTTCGAAGCATCTTCGTGGGCTAGCCTGTGATGCAGATTTACAAATATCAGAGGGCCTTCTTATCTTGTATAGATATGGAAAGTTTTTACTGGATTCTTCAACTCTTGATACGTATATTTGTCCAAAACATAGACGTGATAGAGACAATCCTTATATATATTGGAGACGACAACAAAGAAGATGTCAATCAACATTCCATTCAACTAATAGCACAGCTAAAGTTAAAAGAGGTATCCAGGCACAAACAGCAAAAGTAATATGGGTGGAAAGTGGACTGTATATTCTTGTTGGTGCAGGTAAGGATCAGTAGTTTCATGTTTATATCATCAGTGTATCATATGTCTCCAATATAAATAACATGCGAAATATACATGTATATATAGGCCAAACACAAAAGTATGCATGTGTAAAGACTTCCGCCCAGGATTATTGTCTTTCTTCTTTTGCTAATTCTTTATATGGAGTATAACAAGTGAATTGACAGACCTACAATCCTGTCATGCTTTGTTAATTGTTATAAAAAGTGTCAATAATAAAACGTTTTAACGGGTAGGCTTTTTAGGCATACCCTTATAGATTTGAACGGTGAATCCTATATAAAAAATGTTTGGGGTAATTTGGGAATAGTATACTGTCAATATAGTTTGTTCCAGATGTGATAGACCAGCTAACTATATTGTGTCAGTTCATTTTAGTTGAAATTTAAAGAAAATAATTTGAGAGATAACATTAAAGCTCAACCTTGCAAATTTTATAGCTCGGTATCTTTTCCATAATTATTATTTAAAAGGGAAGTTGGCTTTACAGGTATATTTCGTAGTTGTGTCTTAGAGACATTGTAGTTGTGTGTTTATTTACATAGGAATCTCCATGACCTGTTTTATGATGGCGCATCGCCATCGTTAAAATATCTTCCGCCATCGTCAAATGATCCCCGCCATTGTCAAAATTTGTTTTCGTATCGTTAGCCGCCGCCATTTTTGTTAGCAATTACAATCAATTGCATAACCCTTATTGTATTATAATCCAAAGGGTCCTTATTGCAGAAGCCCTGAGGAATATCCGGCCAAAGATCGCTAATCACTTGTACAAGTAGATCGACACACCTGACAGGAAAACACTTGATCAAGACGATTAATTGCACTATTTAATTACGTTTTAGCAAATGCTAATGAAAATTTAGATTAGAAAATGAATTATGAATCCAGTTACGAAGAAAAAAGTTTAACAAGTCGAACAGGTGCTTTTATATTGACTTAAGAAATCAGCATCCCTCTTTGTAAACAAGTACAAAATAAGACGTAAAACAAAACATAATGTCATGCTAAATGACACGAGTACAACAATTATCGATAATATTGAATCACTTTACAGGTTCAAAGGTAAATACATGAATAGTTACTGCAACTTGATAATCTAAAGATATTTCGTATCGTAATTCCGAATTCATTTCGTAGTTTACAATCAAAATAATACATCCTGTTTAGATTCAGAATCTAAAGATGCATTATTGCATGGTCTATTACCATGAAATTTGCAATTTAAAGTCATTAAAACCTTTATGTTGTAAACGATTGCCCTCCAAATCTGTATCCAACGTTTTACAAAACGGGTACGCAACTTCTTGTTGTTGATGCTGCAAATCGTCGATACCGGTTTATGATTTCTG